GAGTTCAGAGGGGTGCGGCTGGTTCGAAATTCCCGCCAAAATTCTATATAATACACGCCAATTAGGAGCTTTTAGAGAAAGCGACCGTCTCCGTTGATCGCATTGACTCTCTTGTTGAGATTCAGAAATGACAACAGCTAGGGAGTCCAACGTAAACTTTAGTCTTGCATTTATTCACCAAAGAAAACACAGCCCCTGTACAAGAACAAAATTTGAACGAAATATAATTAGCATATAGCCTCTGGAGCAAAATGTAATAACAAACAATTCATGGTTTCATTTGCTTTCTTCCATTAAACAGAACAAATTAAAGTGTAAACATTGCAATAGTTTCCAACTCAACACGAGTCATCAATTAATACATTATTCAATTTTCAATAATAATTCTTATTATGTGCAATATCATGAGAGCTTTTTGAAATGACTAGTCACTAGAGGGCGGTATTCAATTTGATGACATCATCTGTGAACAACTCTCCATGCCTTTTGTACATCAAATTTCATGTTTTTCCTTCTTTCTTGTGATTGAGATAATGTACTCCCCCGAAAGCAAGATATCGAATGCTAAATGATATTCTACTTCACATGTTATGAAGTCGGATCAAGAACACAAATAAATACGAAGAAAACAAAAAAATTGTGAAATTTTATGTACAAAAGGCATGGAGAGTTGTTCACAGATGATGTCATCAAATTAAATAACGCCCTCTAGTGACTAGTCATTTCAAAAAGCTCTTACTTCCTTATTCCTTGCCCGATTGTGTTCAAATTTTCACTGATTTTATTCAAATCTTTTAAACTTTACAATAAAAGTAACTTAGTATGAAGGTTTTGGTTTCCTTTAATTGTATTGGTTGCATTTAAAAACCTGTTTTAGTGGTCTGATCTAATGAGATTGTCCATCAGATACGAATAGGTCTGTCATCATCAGCTCGAGATTGCCAAATAGCCCGCTATTTCTGATTTGGGAAAACATCCTGAAGCTACAAATCGCGTCTTCTTCAGCTCGAGACTTGACCTTGAAAATTGAAACTTCAAGCTCGAGATGCTTTGCTCAGCGTTGGTGCGTAGTGCAAGTTTTCAGGCTGGTGAAGACGCACCGGACAAATAGCGGGATATTTTGCAAACTAGCCCAAGATATCATGGAATGATTATCTCGACCAAATATCCTGCTAATTACAACTTCGGGCTGATGAAGACCCAAATTAACTGGATAATTTGCGATCGGGATAGTTAAAATAGCGGGATATTTGGCAATCTTGAGCTGATGAAGCCAGGCCTAATGATCCCCAAACTGGCACCATCAAGTTTGATTTATTTGCCCTCTAGGTAGCTTAACCTCTCTGGAGGTCGACCCTGTGCGCCACGACAGTTCCAGAAATATCCAAGGGTCATTTAGTGCAATTTGGGCATGTCTGGCCAATTCATAAATCAACAATCATCTCTGGTGGTTTTACTATAGGAGAGAGATGAAAAGGTTAAAATGTACAAATTTATTAAAATCAGCAATGGTTTCTGGAAACTGCACAAATTCAGAAGAGCTCTGATCAAATATCTTAAAATAACCCCCTCTAAAATTTCTGCATTTCAAGTTTTACCACTGATATCACTCATGTTAGTATCTTATCATATTTGACGTTGGTATCATTGAAAAACCTGTTTATTCCCCTTTACAATGATGCCCCATTTGTAATGATTGTGCAATCAGGGAATGTGTAGTACACCTGAATATGGGGCCAGGTCAACAGTGAAATGCCGCAAAAATGCATTGTTATTGTCAACAGTGAATCCTTCATTTGTTGGGAGCATGGATTGTGTTTTGAAGGAATAACATTGCAACATTTTGCGACATCGTTGTAAAGGGGATTAAACAGGCTCTTCTGTTCCTGGCAATATGGTGGCAGACAGTGGCACTAAATTTTTTCCTGAAACTATTCTATTTCACAGTGTGTTCTGAAAAATACATGTATTAAAGGTACATATAATACAAAGTTTTGTGAAATTTTGAATATTGGGTGGATAGTGATTCTTTACAATTTCAATATATTTGGATGCCCCTGTGGATGTATTATTAGCACTAGAAAATGTAACCCCTAAAACACTTCTGTTTTTGAGAAAAATGGAATATCAAAATTTACCGGTGCTCCCGATAAATTATGATAAATTTCAAATACCGCCTACAATGGTAGCTGCGATCATGAAAATCTGAGAATATGTAGTTGTGATATATAATTTCCAAACGGGAATAGCCAATCGGTCGATTTTAGTCAAAAAACATTGTTTTATAGCTTGATTAATATCTTGACCTTGAGAGGGAGCTATACAACATAGAGAGTTTATTATTTACAATTTCATATCTTAAGACTCGATTTCAACCGCGACAACGATCACTGAATATTGTAGGATGCATATGCTTCCAATATGTTCATTTAAACCAAATTCATGACAACATACCAAAACTTTGTATTACCTTTAATATAATCCATATTTGGAGTTTCACTTCAACTATGTTGTAATACTGAGAGAATATTTAGACAAGAATGTATGTATTGTAAGAGACATATGCCTACAACAGAACAGAATGTGGTATCTGTCAAATTAAGAAAGAGAAGTGTTCAGACTATATAGCTTATGTACAAGTATATAATTATGCTATAGCAAATGGATGGGACACATCCAGTCTGTGCCCATTTTTTTTAACCCATGTTACATACTCCAGTTAGACAACCTCAACAATATACCCCTTTCCCATTTGAGATGATGACCTTTTTTAAATTTTGAATTTTGTTTTTACCTGTCAAATATCAGAGAATATTAATAGGAAATTTGTGCCCCTCTGTTACAAAACCCTGAATCTACCCCAAGTACACTGTAGATGAAATGTATATTATTCCACTCCACTTCTATTCTGGGTTATATGTTTTCACATCACAGATCTTGTTTTGCTCAGTTTCAGGCCAATGAACATTATCTGGACTAATGAGGTCATGACATTCAGCCCTAATCTGTCAGTATATTCACAGATGGGCTCGGAAATGGAGCAAGTTTTCTTCTGTCTCCTTTTTTTTTAGGGAGGGAGGGAGGGGGGGGGGGAGTTCTTTAACAAATCTTGTTTTCCTTGATTTAGTCTGGGTGAACTACATAAATTGTCACTTTCCTGTAGACATTAGGCCTGTTTTCATCAGCTCGAGTTTGCCAAATAACCCCATATTTTCAGACTCTGAATATTATCTCGAAGCTCAAAATTGCATCTTCACCAGACCGATTCGCTCATCACAATCTAGCTAAGACAGGCCCAAATTAGCCCGCTATTTCCCAATTAGTGGGATATTTTGGAAACGACCAATATTTCTCTAGAAGTTTTCTCGACCAAATATCCCGCTAACTGGTTAATTTGTGATCAGGATAGTTAAAATAGCTCGGTTATTTGGCAAACTCGAGCTGATGAGGACAGGTCTATGGTGTGACCTGTGAAAATTTAAAGGTCAGACTTGACTTCCTGAAAGGTCATAGAAGATAGAATCAACATGTTATGGTATGTGAATTTGGTCAAAATGGTCAAGGCAATCAAGAAGATACAGATCAGTCGTTTTCTGCTTTATTTAAGTAACTCCAGGTTCCAGACCATTATGCATGCCTGCATGCTTTTAAATTTGTATTGGTTGCATTGAAAAACCTGTTTTAGTGGTCTGATATCTAATGAGATTGCAGATACGAATAGGTCTGTCATCATCAGCTCTAGATTGCCAAATAGCCCGCTATTTCTGATTTGGGAAAACATCCTGAAGCTACGAATCGCGTCTTCTTCAGCTCGAGACTTGACCTCGAAACTTGAAACTCAAGCTCGAGAAATACTTGCTCAGCGTTCATGCATAGTGCAAGTCTTCAGGCTGGTGAGGACGCACCGGACAAATAGTGGGATATTTTGCAAACTATCCCAAGATATCTTGGGATGATTATCTCGACCAAATATCCTGCTAATTGCAACTTCTGGCTGATGAAGACGCAAATTAACTGGATAATTTGCAAACGGGATAGTTCAAATGGCAGGATATTTGGCAATCTTGAGCTGATTAAGACAGGCCTAATGATCTACCGGTAATGATCTAAAATTGCATAGGTAGTGGCAGGTGAGATAATGATGTGAAGGTTTAGCATGCATGGTCCCTGCATGACAGTTGTTTTTTTCTTTTTGTGTGCATGTGGGGGGGGGGGGGGTAGTCTGGAGTCTGGTGTGTGGGTGGATGGGTACCCAGGACACTCATAAGAACTGCACCATCGCTTTCATGACCTCTTGCAAAACGAGGATGTCATCGGTTCAAGAACCATGTTTAAACAAAACAAAATTAATATTTTTTTTTTTGGGGGGGGGGGGCCTATCATTAATTTATTTTAGTGCTCTGTTTAGTCCTTGGCTGTGCAGTAAATTTCAAGATCGTCCTTGGGATGTTGTATGCAGACAAACAGGTGTATTTTCGAACATGTAATAACAGTCTGATGTGTTCATATGGGTCCTCAATTTACACCAGAAACATGTGTGCACTGCATGTGTGTGTGTGTGTGTGTGTGTGTGGGGGGGGGGGGTAATTTGACTTATGCCCTTTTTTCTTCTTTTTACAACAGTTGTTGAGGTCTTCAGCAGTTATTAGGAAGTTCTTATGATCAGGCCTGATAATAACCCGATTTAAATCGGTTTCCCAATTTTAACCTTATTTTTTTTAGATTTTTCCCTATTTTTTCCTAATTTTCTTACTCAAAAAGGGGGAGGGGGAGGAATGTTGTTAGATGCTATTTGTTTTCCTCTAATCCTTTTTTTTTTTTACTCAAGCAGGGGGTGGTTGAGGAATAAAGAAAAACCCTATTTTTTTGTTAGTGCTCACTATCACCCCTGTATGATTGCCTTATGAAATCAATTAGCCAGTCAACCATTTTAATCAATCAATCACCTATATAATTCTATATTCCTATTGATAATCTTCCTATTGATAATCTTGATACAGGATCAGGGCTATGTGGTTGACTTCCGTAGTGACACCATCACCAAGCCCACCGATGCCATGCGTAAGGCCATGAGCGAGGCCGTGGTAGGTGACGATGTCTTTGGAGAAGACCCCACAGTCAATGGTAAGTGCTCTGTATTATCTTTTTTCTTGAGGAGGATGGGGGGAGGGGGAGGGGGAAGGGGAGAGAGGAGGGGGTAGGGGAGCAGGGTTGTAGGGGAAAGGAAACCTCAGACCCTGAGGGATGATAATACCCTGTCCTTGTTTTGGTTGTTGTTGTTGTTTTTTAATTGGGGGGGGGGGGGGGCAATCCCAGAGTCATTTGACAGTACATTAGGAAAACATCTCATTTGAGCTCTGCTCACCAGTTCACCACTTTTCCTGGTGCTACCATAATCTGATAGGAGCACTGACCACTGATAAAGGGATTACCAGTAGGGTCCATGGGGAGAGAGACAGCGGTCAATCATAGCCTAGTTACTGATAAAGGGATTACCAGCTGGTATCTGATATCCAGTCCAGATTCATAGTCTTCTCATCGCAGACCATACACCTATATAATAGGCCTGGATTCAGTGTGTCTAAAGTCTCACTTCATATTGTTTTTTTTATAGCAAGTACTAGCTACTTTCTTTTACGTATAGAAGAGAACATTGATGTGCTTGGCAATGGAAAAATGCAGAAGGAAAATATAAAGGGAGGATAAAATAGGGAAAGACGGGTGATAATAAGGAAAGATGGAAATGGAGGGAAAGAAGGAAGAGAAAATAAAGAATAGCATAAGGAAAGATGGAAAAAGAAGATAAAAAGTTTAAAAAGAAATACATGAGGAAAGATGGAAACAGAAGATAAAGAAGGTTAGAAAAAAAAAATACATAGAGAGAATAAAACAAGGTGAAAATAGAGGAATACATAAGGAAAGATGAAAAAGATAAAATTAGGAGAAAATAAAGAATAACATAAGGAAAGATGGAAAAGGAAGATAAAAGAAGCTTTAAAAAGAAATACACAGGGAAAGATGGAAACAGAAGATAATGAAGGTTAGAAATAAAGAAATACATGAGAAAAGATAGAGAGAATAAAACAAGGTGAAAATAGAGGAATACATAAGGAAAGATGAAAATTAGAAAGACGGAGAAAATAAAGAAGTTCATAAGGAAAGATGGCTAAAGAAGATAAAATTAGGAGAAAATAAAGAAATATATAATGAAAATTAGAAAAGAGATGTTGAAAGAAGGAGAAAAATAAAGAATAATATCAGCCGAAAGGTATATAGAACAAAGGTGATAATAGTGAAAAACATGAGGAAAGATGGAAAGGAAAGATGGAAAGGAAACATTGAGAAGATAAAGAAGTTAATTGGACAAATAAACTTTTAAAAAACCACCAACCAACATGCGTAAACTGGACCAAACTTTGATTGGTCATGTTGCTGCATAATAAGGGCGACTTGAAATAATCGCACTGTCACAAGTATTTTAGTTTTTCTGCATAAATATAATCATTACCTTAAAACATAAAGGTTAGATGTCTTATGTATTGAACCAAATCTTTAATAGGCAAGCTTGCCCAGTACCTCTTTGATCAAACGACACGGCTAATTTTTAAGAACACTAAAAGAAAATACACTGAAAAACGGCCGCTCAGAGTGCCGGGCGCATTCACGATACTGCATGTGGCAAGTTTTTTCCGAATTGGGTGGTGGAGTAACGCCTTTAACATAGGCTATATTTGTCGACCTTACCCGACTTTCAAATGGAGAATCTCACTTTTCGGTGAACGGGGACCGAAATACCCCACTTGCGTGTCTGGTATTACAGACCGCTTTCTTTCCCGATATCTTCGCGTACACCAAGCTTCGTGAGAATGAGCAATCTCAGAATCTGGATGAATGTTGTCCTTGTAGTGTGAGGTTCATGAGTAATTATTGTTATAAACTCCGACATATAGTATGGATGATAATGTTTGTCAAGTTTATTGCGGACTTTGTCATCCTCATAAAAGTATTAGATCAAGTAAAAAGGCTTCAATTAAAATAGTTAAAAATGACCAGAAATCATTTCGATGTTAAGATATTTTTGACGCACTTCTCGTCATGATATTGAATTTATAACATACAACAAAACGAGGACATCATAATCATAAAGACGTTCGTTGTGCAGATATGTATTTGCTTATTAATACATACAGTGACAAAAAAGAATAATGCGCTATAATCATGAGCAAAAAACCAAGAGGTTTCGGAGAATGGTAAAAAATCATCCGAGCAGTCAATTAGGCAATTCTTCAACAATCTTAAGTATTAAAAAGTGAAAAGGTTTAACTGTCGTGATAAAAATGAGCTTGTCATAGAGATTTATTATACAAGTGAGCATCGAAATGTTTCTTTAATGAACTGCTATAAAATTTTGAAACCAAATACTCTTGTGCTGAAATTTCATATCCTCAGTATCGAGAAGCATAATGTTCCATTATGGTTGCATCAACTATTGTAAAATAGATTAAGTCCTTCGATGTCTTGTAATGCCCTAATCACTCAGCTAATTATTATCTTTCTAAAGGATTGTAGATTTGAGAGTTTCTGTTTCTTTCGTGTTACATGCAATGGACATTCAATCATCACGGCTTGATGTGTTGTGGGGAAATAAATATTGTATCCTATACGTGTACAGATCATATTAAATCAAATAAAAGTTTGATGAAATTCAATTCTTATCTTGCCAGAATCATCATTTTTTTAAATACCGTCTTTATAACGAATTCCAAGAAATATGCCGTCTGCCTAAACAACCACCCCCCCCCCCCTATTTTAAATTTGACGTCTGAGCCCCGGCCACTCCCTGTTTCCAAATCCTTGATCTGCCGTTTTGGGGGGGGGGCAAGAAATAGGCAAAGAAAGTTGAGTAGACCTTCAGATTACGCACTGAATAAATGTAACGAAAACAATATTTACAACATTCTATTCTTGCTTTAATACCTCAAAAATATTTAACGATCAAACCAACAAAATGTATGTTTTCCCGGCCTTTCCTTATAGGCCTAGGCTTACACCATTTTTCTAAACGCGTTCGAGTTTATTTCGTCTATGCGAATAAATTTGGTGGCGGAGTAACGCCTTTAACAGAGGCTATATTTGTCGACCTTACCCGACTTTCAAATGGAGAATCTCACTTTTCGGTGAACGGGGACCGAAATACCCCACTTGCGTGTCTGGTATTACAGACCGCTTTCTTTCCCGATATCTTCGCGTACACCAAGCTTCGTGAGAATGAGCAATCTCAGAATCTGGATGAATGTTGTCCTTGTAGTTTGAGGTTCATGAGTAATTATTGTTATAAACTCTGACATATAGTATGGATGATAATGTTTGTCAAGTTTATTGCGGACTATGTCATCCTCATAAAAGTATTAGATCAAGTAAAAAGGCTTCAATTAAAATAGTTAAACATGACCAGAAATCATTTTGATGTTAAGATATTTTTGACAATTTTAGACAATATCATATTTAATTGTGTCCATGTACTATATCGAACTAGACAATTATGATGAAACTTGAAAGGAACATAATTATAACCAGGAAGTTCCTGATATAACTATGCTTATAAAGTGAAGCAAGGAAGATGAAACTGGCATCTCCCATGTATACTGGTAGCTATGAGAATGGACAAAATCCGAACCTATATGAGACTGCGAATAAGACTAGAACATCATGGAGGAGTTCCAAGCAGTACTTATCAAGGTTGGGCTGGTGATGTCCTGGCAAAGTTTGTTTACACTGCAGATTAGGGACTCTAACTCTCTCTTGCTCTGTGGCGAGCTTACCACCAAAATGCACCCCACTTTCGGGTCCAAAGTGGGGTGAAGTTTAAATGGACTGTTTTCGTCATGATCTACGGTATATCTAATAAAGGAAACCTTTCACAATGAGTCATATTACACTTGCTTTCTCATTTTTATGTGGGGGGGGGGGCAGGAGGGTCCATGGGAAGGGAATAAAAATAAATACCAAGAAGTGATATGATTTTAATACTTGGTTCTAGGAAGACACAAGAAATCACTCTCTTCATTCACAAGTATAAAGCTGCAGGGCTCAACACTAATTGTGGACCTGGATCGACACCGGCCAGAATAGCACTACAGAGCTCCCCCCCCCCCCCCTCGCCCCTCACATTTAAATTGTAACCTGTTATCTTCTGGAACCCAGTGATCCCTGCATTAAGCCTATGGGTATTGGAGAATGCAGTAGTCGTTGGGTTAATAAGGATGTGTTGTACACATACATGTACAAGTACCTCAATAATTGGGCTTAGAGGCCACAGAAGCATACATGTGACTAGGGAGCTACCATGCATGGTTGTACATTTATTGGACATTTATCTTTATGTATAATTAGTTTGTTTGCTTTGGTGCTGAAAGCTACCCATGGTATTGGTATTGAAGGGATTAGGTATCTTTGTCTCAGATTATAAACAAAATCCTGGGTTTAGCTCATGCTGCAATCGTAATTATAAACCTTTATAGGTCAGTCAGGAATCCCATGACGTTTACAAACCCGATCGCCTGTCTGATTATCAAGATATTTATGATTTTTCCCAATGGTTTTATAACACTATAGTCTGGGGGGAAATGATTATCGTTATGGTAAAACCTGTCAACTTTTGATTTTTTTTTGAGGCACTTCATGATCATATTGAAGCGCATTTTTCTTTAGGGCTTCAATATTACACCATATCACAGACACTGATAACATGTAGGGCCATGCAGTCTCAGATTTGTAAAACTGGAAACATTGTTAAACAATGCCTTTAATAGTTTATAGGGGACCATAGACCATGGACTGACAACTAGTGGCAGTAATTTATTTATCTAACCTTCTGTGAACTATTTTATCAGATTATCTGAGTCTTTAGTGACATTAATAAAGATTAGAAAATTGATTGATCAAATAGTCTATTTCTATTATCTTATTGTTATTCATAGCATATGTTACTATATTGTAGTTTTACATTCTTTTTTATTTTGCATTTTACTTCAGATTTCCTCTATGAATACAAAATTAAATATTTTGATGCTCAAAACCTGTCACTTGAATGATAAACTGCAATGGAGCTAGAGTCTAAAACATATTACATATATACCAAAATCAAATTAAATTCATCCTTTTACTAGTCATACTTGAAGTGTATTCATGCACCTGTCAACTGTTACACTTCTATTTTTTGTGTCCAGAACTTCAGCGAAAGGTGGCCAAGTTGCTGAAGAAGGATGCTGCCCTCTTTGTACCGACAGGGACAATGTCCAACTTGATCGCATGTAAGACACATAAAACACTTTTGTCTTGTAATAATATGACGCTCTTTATAGAACTGTTTAGACTGATGCTCCTTGATGTCAAATTTCATAATACTTTTATGCAAAAACAAAAATGAATTTGAGAAATGTTCCCTGCCATCATGACAATTTAAGAGAAAATTATGAATATTAATAAAAACAAAACCAAAATTTAAAATATCTCAAATTGGAAAAACAAATGTGACTCCATATTGCAGTATTCTACTTATACTTCTTGTATGAAATATCTAAAAATTGAAGGAAAAAATTCTCCTAAGGAAGATTTCTGTTGAATGTTTATCTCTTTTAATATTTTCTGTCTTTAGATAAAATGGGTCCCTTCTATCATACAGACACAAGTATTAAAAAGGGGGAGTTCAGGGGTGAAATTTAAGGAAATATGTCTTGAACAATACTCTCATTGTTTGTAAATAATAAAAATCATGTCATTTGTTTATTTCCTTAATGATAGGTCATTGCACTGGGAAAGTTGAGTAAGTTCTGTTAGGATGTTAGTGTAGTGCAGCGTCAGGGACTTGAACCCCATACCTTGCGATCTACAGTCCGTTGACTTGTCCACTATACCACAGAACCTCTGTTTTATTTACTTAGTGATGAGTCATACTACCGGGCGTGGTGAGGAGGTGTTGCTAGGAGACCAGTGTCACATCTTCGACTGGGAACAAGGTGGAATGGCACAGGTAAAAACAATCGCTCATCCAAATAGATTTTTTCATCAAATTTATTCATCAGATAATAATTCCTTCATTTGTAGATTATTATTATTTATAGATATCAATTGATTTGAATTATTGTTCTATGTACATACAGTTTGGGTCAAGGACTGATTCAACTGTTTCTGTTTTGTATCACCAATTGCTAAAAAGTTGGCATTAACCTTTTATAGTTGACAGCCATCCTTTTGGTTCTGTCTGTCAGTATTAAAGCACACCAAACGCAGCATTAATACAAAGTCTATAACAATTCAAATTCATGCATGTCATTTTTGCTTGGCGTACTTAGTAATTACATTGGTTATTTAATTTATGGTAGTTTGCTGGTGTGTGCCCACACGTGGTCAAGACCTTGCCCGATGGAACTCTGGACTTGGATGAGCTCGAGTCCAAGATACGACCCAGCGACATTCACATGGCCAGCACCAGGCTCATCTGCATAGAAAACACCCATAATTCATCGGGAGGCAAAGTGCTCCCTCTAGAGTTCTTACAGAAGGTAAATGGTCCAGGGGCCTGTTTCATAAAACTTGATATCAATAACAAGTTACAAGCTACCGTTATAAGCTACTTAAATCGAGGCATCTGATTGGCTGAGAGCAAATTTATCATAGAAATTAAGCATTTGTTATAGATAAAAAGTTTTATGAAATGGGCCCCTGTACAGCCTAGTTTCCATTTATTTCCCACCAAATTTAAAAATCACTTGATAGGAATCTGGAATCATTACAGACTATTTGTCCTTAATTTGTGTAATGGCACTTTGCTGGAATGCTCCCCAGGGTGCGGAGAATGTACATAACTTGTGTGCGGGCAAGCCTGAATCCGATGACTGGGGTAATAATAGGTCTGTAAATTGCTCAGAGACAACTTTGTTAACGATATATCCACCCAGAATTATTTTCATCATTATTATCATTAATTTACTTATTTAGTTGTTAGGCTTGCTAATGTTGTCAAAGTATGACATGGAATGGAAAGAGTATTGATTGAAAGATTGCGATCGATGTACCTTTACCAACTTAAAAGATCTGCTACAGATAGGAAAGTTTCTCAAAATAATACTTCTTCCAAACCAACCATAGTACGGCTACCCTCTAATCTCTAGTAGATCATTCTCTTGTTGTGTGTGTGTGTGTGTGTGGCTACATGCAAAATTTGTACACTAATTGAGTAAGAAGGACACAAAGTCTTGTTTAAGGGAACAGTGGTGTGAAGCACATATGTAGTCCAGCAAGACCACCTTTAATTTGAATTTATTTTTTTCCAGGTGAGAGCAATAGCAGACAAGAACAATCTCAAGGTTCACTTAGATGGGGCTCGTCTCCTCAACGCAGCGGTTGCTATGGACGTAACCCCAGATGTCATCACGCAGTACGTCGATTCCATCAGCATCTGTTTCTCAAAGGTAATAATATAAAACTTTCTTTTCGGTTGATGGAGAAATTTGCTGAGGAATTGAACTGTGTGCTTATGGCTCCTCATTAAGTTTGTTTGGTTCCACAAAGACTAAGATCAACTTTAAGTTGGACTTAAATATGGCAGGCCATTCATGCCACTTTTTGCCCACACCATTATGATCTTTAGATAATATTTTTTCCTTCAATAATGAATTATAAAAAAGTGTAGATTTGTGACCATGATTTGTACGTCCCTTGAGAGACAATTGCCAGTTAGTGGTGAGAGCAAACAGTGGCATGACCGGCTTGCCATATTTAAGTCCAACTTAAAGTCGTTCTTAGTCTTTGCAAAACACTCCCCTGATCTTTTGATAAAGGCTTTGAATCTAACTTAAGAATGAGTGTATATGTAGGAGTAGTAGTGAACCCAAGACAATGGAGCATTACATGGACTTTTATACCATAAATTCAGTGAGGTAGGGATGTTTCTCGATCTCGTGAGCAAAGATTACGGTTAGGGTAAGGTGGCCCTGATAATGGCACACTCATGCTTGACGCTCCTACATCTATCTTCACCATGGAAGCCTTCAAATATTTCAAATACTTTCTTCCATTTAATTTGGCAACATATTTGACATCTGTTCAAACAATACAATTTATACGTAGGAACATAAATATAATTAAAGAACTTGTATTACAAGAAAAAAGGCGTGAATCCCAAGAAGCAAAGCTTGTAATGTGTACGCCCAAATACACAAATACATAATATACATTATAAATAGAAGAAAGGAAGAAAGGGATAGGCAAGAAGGAGAAGAGGATAGAGAGCTTGGAGAAAGAGAAAAGAAGAGCACTCCAACATAGTAGCAATGGAGTGTATGGCATGCATAAAAAATATTTCTCAATCTTCTAAAACAAAGAAGTACCACAGCTGTGACACATTGTAGCCAAAGAGATATGATATTCGAGTATCTCCACTATTGAGGCCTGTCATATTTTCATAAGTCACCAATACCAATACCATTGTTGCATCTGACGGTTTTTCAATATCTAGTACAATCTTGCTGTATCTATTTTGCAAAAGGAGTATCTCACAATATGCATTTATCAATGAGTGTTTCATGCATAATCAGGGATGCCAGTTTTCAGGCAAAAGCCTGAGTTCAGGCCCTGGCAATTTATTTTCTGGCCATAGTTTAGGGAACAAAATATCTTGTTCTAGGTGATTTTCAAGCCCTCAGATCAATTCTAACTGGCATCCTTGATATTGAAAGTGTTTGCTTTATGGCAAAGTTTTTAGTTGTGGGAGACGACGCCATGCTTATTACTCTCAGAGTGAAATGGTCTTTTTGTTTACGTGAGGGTGTTTACATCTCTTTCTCTAGGGATTGGGATGTCCAGTTGGATCGGCTCTCGTAGGATCCAATGACTTCATTGCAAGGTCAGTATAGGAGGGAGTTTAACCAGGGAGAAAAGCATTGAAAGAACTTTGCAATATCGCAGTGCAGTATTGAGAGAAATGAGTTAGTCTTGTGATCACCTCTCTGCTCTTTGCAATAAGGACCAGGGTATGAATCTGAGTCACTGAACCTATGAATTATTAATGGCCCAAATGTTTTCTTTTTTAGCCCAGATGTCCACCTTCTTTAACTGCACTCATGTTTCATATCATTTTCGACAAACTTTCCAAATCTTGTTGTACTTACATAAGTTCATACCACCCTCTAATGTCGGATTCACAAGGATTCATTAATTTTCATGATTAATTTGTACAAGATTTATAGAAGGAACATCGCCTTGAAATATTAATTTACTTCACATATACTTTACTCATCGATACCTTTCAGTGAAAACAATGTCGTAGCATGCGTGTTGGTTATTTGTCAGACATATTAAAGACTTAAGTGACAATGTATGTAACAACAAGAAACAGTTAATGTTTTCCTTTTGCTTCATCAGAGCTTTGAGGCACAGGAAAGCCTTAGGTGGAGGCATGAGACAGTGTGGCATACTAGCAGCTGCAGCTCTGGTAGGCCTAGACCAGGGGTACGCAAGACTGCATGTGGATCATGAAAATGCTCAGAAATTCGCCAAAGGTGAGCTTGCAATTTGCTATAATCATAAAGCCAGTTCCTAGTTAGCTTTTTCTCACATACCACACATCCATCTGGAGTTGCCTAGGCCTATGATCTGGCCGAGAAGACTGCGCAACGTAACGCGCCAGTCTGGCAAGAAAGCATCCACCCTCGGTGATCTGGCCAGCTATGGACCATGGATCTAAGATCTCACTTTCTTTTATTTTATCCTCGCAAATTAAAAAAAAAAGTTATATATGTATGCATAAATGTCTTTTGAAAACAAAAATTGTGAAGAGCATGAACAATGATTTTATCATGCAAATTAATGAAAAGTTAAATCTGTAAATATTCTGAATGAATGAAGCCCCAATCACACAACACAACAACCATCAACAGGCTGTGCATGTAAGGGTTATTTGATGTAAAATAATTTTTAATCTGTATGTTTCCTAAAATGTTATTGTAAACCATCTCATTATAGCATTTGGGAGGGGAATGACTTTATGTCCTGCAACAATATGCACATTTTATTGGGAGACGGTTAAATTTGATTTCAATTGATTTCCTTTGATCGTAACTTTACTAGTTGAATAGCTTATTCACCACCAAGTTTAAGTCTGACAAATGCAAGATTTGTAAAAACAAGCTTCAAGTTGTTTTTTTTTACAACCAAGCTTTGATGCTATGATTTTATTTGTCCATAAATCAGTATGAAAGGGGTGGGTAAACCTGCCAACCCAGAGAAGTATGACTAAGACAATTTTTACACTGTTTTACACTGTATTTATATTAAAGTGTAAATTTAAAAAAACTCTCATTGTGTCTTTAGTTTTAACAATGTTGTTTAATTTGTGCATAAATCAGGCATGAAAGAGCTGAACAACCCAGTCTTCACAGCCAAGCCAGAGAATACACAGACCAACATGGTGCACATCCTAGTACGAGAAGACATTCCTTCCATGCAAGCTGCCTCGCTGCTGGGCAACGTCGCCGATGATGAGATCAGTACACTAGGACAGAGCATTCAGGTATGACACAGGCTTCTGTGACATTTTTTGCACTCCAGGGGTGTTTCACAAAGATTTGAAGTCAAATTTAACTTTAGTTGGACCTAAATATTATGGAGAGCCATTTGTAGCCTTATGCTGAAATATATTCTAAAGCAAAAATTCAAATATTTTAGACTTTTCATAAATTTCACATGAAGAACATGAAATCTCCCATGATAATAGCAAATATGAATGATTTGAATCAACATTTTATGCCTTTTGAAATAACTTTTACAAAATATTTTCAAGGATGCTCATGGCTTTCCGTAATTGTTCAGTCAACTAAGGGATAAGTGCAACTTAGAATCTTTGTGAAACACCCCCTGGTCAATTCATTACACTTACCAAATTTCTAACAGCAACCAGAGATCAACCACTAAATCGCACGCACTATGATTTAACGCCCTTCTGGCTTCAAACTGATATTTTCTTAAAGGTAAAGATCAGGATTGGAAATGCCCCAATTTCAAAAAATGAAATGGAAGCTCTAATATTACCAATCATGTGAAAGAATATGTTTTAAATAATACATGATGATAAAAAATTTGCCGGGAAACTGTCTACTAATTGATATATTTGGTAAATTAGTTTATCCATTGGTGTGCGAGAGATAAAAACGCATGTGTCGTGCATGTGTGTGCGTAGTCCCATATACATCTTTCTGTGTACGGTGCTTGTAACTTTATGAAGACTGGGCCAAATATCTTATCATTTTGATGATTCCAGAACCTTGCAGTACATCTATGCTAGACGATCAACCTTTTCTGATCGATTTCACAACGTTTCTTTCACAATGCAATCGCATGACCATAACTGGTCTTTATCTTTAATAGTTATAATAAAAGTTATAATAAAAGTCTTGTGTAGCGCTCATGTCTGGCACATTGCCACTTCTAGAGCTCCATTTTTATTTCCCTGGCTTGAGCATGGCTGCCATAACAGCGTCACCAGGTACGCATTTACCTAACATGGAAGGATTATGACAACGGTAGATTAATGTCTTACCAAAGGAGATTCGTGTCGTACCGGGATTTGAACCCGCACCTTGTGATTCACAATCCAGAGACTTATCCACTGGACCACAACACCTCTACATGAATATTGCTTCCCACGACCTTTTTGGAATGATTTTCCTCCCGTCTAATCTCCTAAAATTAGAGTATATGATGGCCATGATGTAAAAATAATACATAAATCTACTTTATTTGATCTTTTATTTTTTGTTCTCAGGTGAAACTGTTTCCCGAGACCGACCACACGATGCGAGCCGTTATGAACCACCATATCACAGAGAAAGACGTTCAAATGGCTCTCAAGAAATTCAAGTTCATCGGGGAAAAGCTGGACAAGAATGGTCTTGGTAAATAGAGGTCGAAAGGACATTGTTCAAGCAGATGCATGAAGTCTATTTTTCTAAATTAGAAATTAGAAGTGACTAGCATTGCTCTTTGACACAGCTCCAGATGATTATATTTTTGTAACACGCAGATCACACGCGGAAACTGGTAGAAAAGACTCATAAAGGCAGTCATTTTAACAATTTAGGAGTATGAATGAAATAAAGGATTGCAAAAAAACAAGACGCACATATCCCAAAGTCCAACTTCCGTCCCTTGTGGTTTTTTTTACGTTTTTGGTTTATACATACTATCTGTACTTGCACAAAGACGGCTGCAAGCTTTATAGGCACATGCTGTAGCCCTCCTATACAATCTAAGCTATGTTTAGTAAGGATTCAACATGATAAATTTATTTCATATGCATGTTCCAAATATGTACTGTACTAAATAGATTGTATCAAATTTACATTTGTGTAAAAAAACAAGACGCACATATCCCAAAGTCCAACTTCCGTCCCTTGTGTGGGTTTTTTTTACGTTTTTGGTTTATACATACTATCTGTACTTGCACAAAGAGGGCTGCAAGCATATCAAGCTTTAGGCACATGCCGTAGCCCTCCTGTACAATCTAAGCTATGTTAAGTATGGATTCAACATGATAAATTTATTTCATATGCATGTTCCAAATATGTACTGTACTAAAAAGATTGTATCAAATTTACTTTTGTGTACATGGAAATGTATGTTTACAAAAAACAGTGTTGAAAACAAGACATTCAAATTTATTTCAATTCAATTCAGTTTTTTGGTGATTGTTCCCCTGTGAAAACAAGCCTTACATCTTAATATCTCGAAGTTGATATATGTTAACTAGGTGGCAGAATGAACGTTGATCATTGCATTTCTGTTTATTACCAATTGAAGTATGACATTTCAAAAGAGAATACTGTGAAAGCACAAACATTTGTGACGTGAATCAGCTTTGATGACGAATTGCCATTTAATGGCAAGAATCATTCATGTATTCCAAAAGTTGATTTTGACTCTTATTCATTGAAGTATACTATACACGCTTATCATTGAGTGGTATATATGGCTTTATTGCACAATGCTGAGACAAATCTGGGGGCTCTTGTATTTATAATGAACTAAGTTGTGATGAAACACATTTCCAAAATCACATGCAGCTTGCTTTCAACCAATCAGAATCTTGCATTCGGGAAACATGTTGATTTTGGGGCATTGCTGTTGTTTGGTATCGCAAGTCTTTCATGAAAGAGGCCTTTAATATCATAGCTAAATCATGTAAAGTGTAATTTCATAGTATTCTGTAAAACTCTCATAAATTCAATCAATCATGTTTCATTGCTTTTGGGGGGGGGGGGGGGTAAGTTATGTATGATATTAAATTAAGTACCTCTTCATTATTATTTTTTAAGGATTCAAAAGGATGATATTGTACAAGATATTTGCTCGGGTTATGTTCACCAACATGTATTCAAATATGTGTATATCATTCAAATTATGAACCCAGCATGCAATCATTGAAATTATTGGAAGTATTTACTCTAATAACCCCAAGACAATGGAATATCATTATCGGTATAAAACGCTCTGTTGTAACAAACACTTCTAATAACAAGATTGTTTTTCCAGTTCTACTTTGTTTTTATTTTATATCGTCTTGATATAGCAAGGTTTCACTTTAATACTATGTTAATTTTTTGGGTCCCATTGATTTAGTTTTAATAAGATCCCACAGAAGACACTGCCAATTTTATGTGTACCTCTGAATTTCAAAGATATTCTTACGATTTTTCAAAAAGGAAAATTTTAATATCAGTAGTTTGGGATTTGAAGTGAATGATTTTGATGTGTGCAGCAGTGCTCCTTTGGTCAGTGTTTGGAAAATGTAATGCATATGCTTTCTTAGTAATCATGTAAATAAATTATCAAACCAATCAAAGCGAGTACTATGCATGTGTTGTAAATTATGTACTATGTGCACAAAAGGTATTGGGATAGATTAAGGCATTACATTGAAAATGTAATTCAATAAACACTTTTCAATCAAGTGAAACAATTTGTGTACAAAGACATTTTTTTGTATTGCTCCAGCAGTATTAAGTAATGAAAAAATTAATAAAAATATGCTTCTTTTGCTCCTAGCGTTAGGGTATGAAAACTATGATTAGGTATTGTGTGAAACCCGAGAGTCGAAATTGAATTATTTTCTATCAACAATGAAGTGTTGAAGCATTAATTATCATCACGAGAAGAAAGAGGTTATAGTAAAATGGTCTGTTGCTGGCAGAATTCTCAAAAATGACTGATCTCGAACCAGCATCAAATAAAAAATTTAAAGATGGTATAGTGCATTAGTTATTGAAATATGGGACACACTTGGAAGAATTACACTTACGTTTCCCAGAATTATTCTGTTTTTTCCTCCAAATTACCGTATTATGTTTTTCTTCATGAAATACGTTTTGTTGTTTTTTGTTGATATGATCACAAATTCAATAGAAAACTAAGGTTAAAACATACTTGAGGAAAATATTTTTAAAAAGAATGAAATGCTGATAATACCAAAAAAAAACCAACATCTACTTGTAAATAAACTATAGGTCCTAATATGGAGAAAAAACAGCATGAGGAATGGACGTTTCTGCATTGGAAGTGTGTCGCACATGGTTATAAGTTTCAATTTAATTCTTTCCTTTCTTTTTGCTTAAAACACCTTTTTTAGCCACCATGGTTCCTTTTGTTAGGTCGCACAAGGTTGTCAAGATCAGGAATTCAGTTTAAACAAATTTGTGTGAGGGTGTCTGTGTGGGTGTAGGTTGTGATTTGTGGTTCTTTATCTGTTTGACCTTTGACATGCACATGACCTAGCAAACCGTCAAATCTAAAATATCTTGATAATTGGTCTGTAAAATCCTACAGAGAAAATATAGATCATCATCTTCAAAAATTCAGACATTACCATCAGTGACAAGGTTGGATTCAACTCTCATGGGCATTTTAACACTTCTGTTGCTTTCTTTGCCTCTGCACATTTGCTTATTTGACACACGCGCAAGTTTGCACAAACGATAGACACCAATAGACGGAAGGATGACCATGTGCAACACAATGGCTTTGCAAAATTATCAATTTCCGGTCTTGATTAGCACCATGACGTCCCTTTTAACACTGGTTTAGATTATTCTTGCGCTGGAAACAGCTAAATAATCTTTAAGCTTTGGGTATATTCCTTGATAAATATAATGTGGCATGGGAGATGGTTTGTTGTGGCATTAAAAGAGTTTTAAAATGAAACTACCAGATATGTGAAATACCGGTGAATAAATTGAGATGAAGAGAAAATAATACAACTTATAAAACAGCACAATGATGAGAGCAAACACAAATTAAAAAGCATTTTTTTTTATTGTCTATAATATACATTCAAGTAAAAGTTCAGTAAAAAATATGTACATGAAAAGTACAAATTGAAATATATTCTGGAACGACCCCTTCGATACCTGCAGTTTAAAGGCACAACAAATGTCAAAGGTCCAAACTCCATTCTATACCTGACGTGTATAATAAAGGAAAGTTCACATATGTGGTTCACGGCACAACAAAGGTCAAAGGTCCCTTCTATACCTGCAGTTTAAAAGGCACGTTCACATATGTGGTTAAAGGCACAACAAAGGTCCTACCTGTACTCACTTACGTGTACTCATTCCGTTGGCTTGCAGCAGTATTTGTGGCCCACTAGAAGTGAGAAACTATGTCCCCTATCTGGAGAGTACAGCACCATCATAAATGTCAGATGACGGAATATATTTGGACGCATTTGGAAGAAAAATCAGCAAATTCTTGCATCTTTAAGGTATTCATAACATTCACCCTTGCAGTGTTATCAATGGCTGGAACACCATGGTGAAGTAAGGACTTATGTAAATTGAACTATCATCAAGTTCTACATGGGGTTGTTCCAATCAAAATACTGATTTTATCGTTCACATGCATAAATAGGAAATCTTGGCTTTCAGGTCGACTACTAGAGCAGGTTCGACTATAGTGCAAAGTTAAACTCACATCTCCCTGGTTAGAGTATGAAAAAACAATTTTTGTAAAAACTTTTGCTAACTGTACAATCTACTTCTACATCTATACTGCACGTATATTTACAACTACAAGACCACCATTTCAGAAAAGAATCTTGTTTACATTACAAATGTGAAAAGCCGGTGCTATTTATAAAATCCACCTATAACAGTGAAGTATATAAAATAAATCTAGTATCAATGTTTTTGTACTACCGATGAAATGAAGGACACTAATGGACTGTATTACTATTAGTCGTAGTGTCTGCTATTTAAAAACAATCATAAATTGTTTGGAGTGTCTGGATATGAAAAACAAATAAGTATTAACAACAGGCGATATTATAACCTGTATCAGAAAAACAAGAGGAATGGTGATCGGTTTGGCCATGGTGTTATGCCTTTGTTCATAAAATATAAAAAGAATTGAGGAATGTCCAGATATTGATAAAACATGACAAAGGGATAACATTTTAAAATGCAAGGAAGGAATGTCCAGATAATGACAATAATACAATACAAAGCAATAAAAAATAAAAATACAGATAACATGGGCTATAACTGAGAACCAACATCACAGGAAGGCAATCTATGGTTTTAGCCATATTTCTGTCACTTAAGACAATGACTTTTTCTTTTGAATGCCCAGTGATATATAAACAAAGCATGATTGTCAAGTGAAAAAAAATATACGATAAAAGCACTAAAAAAGTAAATTGGAATAGAGTAAATATAACTAACATATTTCATTCATGAAGCACCTCCACTTTGGCAGTGATTGATCTACAATGAACAAAGCAGGACTTCTCCATGTTTAAAAGATCTGTGGATATTTGGAGGTCATTTTCTACAAGTGCTTTCACTGAAATGGTTTAATGTGTTGCAAAGCCCTCTAGCGAAAAAGAACAGAAATTTATTGGTTTCAGCATTTTGCATGTATTGAGCTGTTTCTTAGCGAGCTTATTCACGGGACAGCTCGTAAACCCAGAAGTTCACGAGTCAGTATTTAGGGTTGCTAGAAGCAGCACCACCAAACACAGAACCTGTGACAAATTATGCAGCATTTTGCTATATACCAGGCCTGTATTTCTAGCACATGCACAATGCTAGCATCCATAAAAATGAGGTAGACGTATATAAACACATGAATATCAGAAACTCTCTGTGAAAAAAGTACAATATATATTGTGCAAATAAAAAAAAAATTAAAAAAATTGATAATTGATAGTTAAACTCATGGTAAGCATTTTAAACAGTATACCCATCATTTAAAAACAACCTAAATGATCTCTACCAATCTTCAGTCACACAGGGCTAACACACTATGCAAAGTCCCGAGACATTTCCTCCATTTCCTAAGGCTTATATACAGTTTCATTTATATTTGTTACATAATGTTGAAAACAAATTATAAACGGGAATGATACTTTCATTGAAATGATGGTATGTGGATGTCAGATTCAAATTCTTTTTCTCTACATTTTGTTTCCAGAGTAGAATTTCTAAAGGCACAGTTTATTTAGCATCATACATACCGGTAAATATGTCAGCTTATTGCTATTTGGTATAAACAGAATGTTGTACTTGATATCACTATTTTTAAAAAAATTGGCACATAGTAAAAATGAGGAGACAGTTGGTACATTTAACAATTCATTACAGTTCTAGTCAGATGACTTTGTGTGACAAAGTTACCAGCTAAACTAGAAGAAATTGTTCAAATGTGCTTTCCAATTTAAAAAAAAAAGAAAGAGAAAATATCTCTAGAATGCCAAAACCTAGAACAATTTTGTCTGCTAAAAACTTTTCCTCAATTTCACATTGATATATTCTTGAATGAAGGGAAGTCTTTTGGGTCATAATTGAAAACTGATGACAAAATTTCTAGTCTGTTCCTAAATCCAGGGTAAATTTATGTTAGCGTATACAAAATAATTAAAATGTGTGAAGGTTTTCATGGCCGTGTCATTTCTCTCAATTTAATTGATGATTGCTTTTAACTTCAAACAGATTACTCTACAATAGTCATATTAAATTTTGATGAAATAACGAACAGTATTACTTTATAAGTTATATATCTGCCTGAGCAAAGATTTAATTAAAAGACCACGCATAACAATTAAAAATCAATAATGCATAATACCAATTTACAATTCTAAGAAGTTCATCAAAAACTTTTAAATGATTCACCGTAGTCAAGGCGACATGCTGGACTCGCCGTCACTGCTGGGCGATTGGAATAGCCGCCTCCCTTGTTTGTTAGCTTTGTGCGTTGTGTCTAACGTGACTGGAGTACAGTTGCTGTTGTCGTTGATCTTGCTTGGACTGAGCAAGTAGCAGTCACGACAGACTGCCATGTACTTGTCGGCACCCCCTATGATTTCCACCTGTAGAGGGCAGATGAGAGGCAAGTGAAAGACCGATTTATTAATCTGGCTAGCGGGTAAAAGTATATAGTAAAAGCACAGTAATAGAGCAATGGCCCCGTTCAAAACTAAGTCAATGGGCCAGTCTTCATCAGCTTGAGTTTGCCAAATAGCCCGCTATTGTGTGATTTGGGAAATTAGCCTGAAGTTACAAATCTTGTCTTCATCAGCTCTAGAAATCTGCTCAGTGTTCGAGCATAGTATGAGTCTTCGGGCTGGTGAAGACGGACCTAATGAGCTTGTGCCCTTTGGTAAGGCATTAATCCTCATTACTAAATCCCTTGGAGAGGACTTAAAGCCATCAGTCCCTTGGTTACTTACAAACATATACACGCTTTCTTAGCAGTCAGGTAAAACAATCATAGAATATAAAATATCAGATTTTGATTTGCTTTAAAGGCTACAGCCTGGATAAGAAGGCAAGTAAGACGATGACATTTATATTTTGATTTTTTAGTTAAAGCATGGAGCAAATGTCTGATCATTGAGACTGAATCTGATACTAATGACTTACAGCTGTTTCACATCCTATCCTCCGGGTATACGAAGCTTCGTTGTAGCAGTGCATGCAGACAGCGTTGAGTTTGATGACACTCTCAGCAATGGGGACAAGGTTTAAGATATCACCAAAACCCTAGTCAGAGGGGAGAGCAAAAATATGAGATAGGAAGAGATGAGGAATTGACAAAGGAATGACATTATTTTATTCCTTAATCAACAACAAATCACTGAAGCTACATCATAGGACTATCCACTTACATTTATATACTGGTACTTGTGGTAGACCTCTTATTTTTGAAAGGATTTTTGCACACAAAAATAAAATAAATGATCATCATTAAACTTAGGCCTTTAGGGGGTAATTCTTTTAATAATTTTAGAGAGAGAAAAAAAAGGCATCCTTGCAAAATGAACAAATTTTCTCACCAATTCCCTTCATCAATACGGTATAGAACCTCTTTTGTGACATTTTTAAGTCATCGAATTAATAAACTAGAGAGAAAATGGGCAGTTGAACTTTGTATGTAGAAAGCTAGATAAACAGTCAAACCTGTCTATAGCAACTGCCCAAGGGAAACAACAAAAAGTCTTTGTAGACAGGTTACTTTAGTACATGTTTCAATGAGAAACCATTTTCAAGGGACACAAAAAAATGTGGTCTTTGTAGACAGGTGGGCACCAAAGCAGGTTTGACCGTGTACATGTATACAAGGACTAAGAAATTCAGTATTAGGTGCAGTAGGCTATAATGGATCTAATTATAATAAATTTTAAAAAAATACAAAATGTACTAACCTTTCTTTGGTATGTTCCATCTAATGCAGCTACGATGATAACTTTGCCTTGGTTGGCCATTTCTTCACAGAACTTCACACAGTCTGGAAACTGAACAAAGAGATTTACAGATTCAATTACAGAGGACAGGGTAAGGGGTATGAAATATTACATATACCTGTGGGGAAATCAATAAAGTAGCCTCACTGATCTGGTAATCTACAAGTACATTGCAGAACTTAAAACTTGACTACTCTACAAACTCTTAGCTGCCTCACAAGTACTTTCAATATTCCCTCTTTTCAAAGAACACATATTTGTTTAACAAACTTGCAAAAAGTTGGACCACTGTGACATTTTCTTGAGAAGGAGAAATAAAGAAAAAGAAAGGAGACAATAAAAGTCAATTATTTTTCTTTCTTTCTTTCTTTTCTTTATGGAGAAAAAGGGTGATATTCATTGTGAAATTATACGAGAGATTTATTTTCTGTTTTCGTTCTTTTTCTTTTAGTGTGGAGTCCAATCAAAAAGATTTCCAGTTCTAAACAAGTCAAATAACAGGTTATCAATTAACTGTAGATTTAACAAATATCCCGCACAGCAAGTGGAGACCAAGGTCTACAGATTATGTTGTTCTTATAATGTTAGAAAATATTAATTAGACATTAGATAAGATTGTACTTACAAATTGGCCTTCATCAATTCCTATAACTTCATACTCCTCAGCAAGCTCTGCTATAGAAGATAGATCGCTAGTAGAAGTAGCTTTACACACTTGCCTGTAAGTAAGATACAAAGTAAGCATTTAGACCAGAGTATGAATTTTTGTTTATATGTCCAATTACTCATCATTCACCCAAATCATTGATTTAGATATTATAATTAATCAGAAAAGTGATGTAAATTTTATTCAGTGTAAAAATGTCTTTCCATCCCTTTTTGGACTGTTTTTTTTATTAAATTTATTCACTTATTGTTTTTTTATTAGTATTTATTAGTTGTTTTTGTTTGTCTTTTTGTTTTTTGAAAATCTATTACAGTTTGTGACAAAGTTATGAAATTTTTTCAAATCACTTTCCTGTTAAATTATAATATCTAAATCTTTGATTTGGGTGTATTCAAAGTGCAGTACAACAGAACCCTTATTTTACAAAATACAAATATCAAAGATTTTTAACATCATCTGGAGACCACAGATCTAGATCACATTTCTTTCTGTTCACTTGGCATATTTAATTTTTCTCTCCCCCATAAACTCACATATCATGAGTTGCTACGCCGTCCTTGTCATATCTTGTATCTTTGTCGTATTTGACGAGTAGGCAGTAGTGATTCGCAATCTGATAACGCTTTATCCTCCTGATCAGCTCCGTCCTGAAAAAAGTGGAATAAGAGCAGAAATATTTTATCTCTAAATGTTTGAAGAATGAAGATAATGTTCAGCTCTCGTAGTGTAAGGGAAATGGGAATGAAACGTATGGACAGGTTCCCATAAATGTTCAACTTGATGCTAGTGCCAGATAATTATTTGATGTGAATTTTAGTGCAAATATCTGATTAAACAGCACCAACAAAGTGATGCTAGAATGCTAGAAGTCTAATCTTTATGCAGTAGAGCACATCATACTCACGTACAGTAATCTTTAATACAAGGGATTGTTATTATTACAGGTATATAAATATTTATTTATATTTTTTTTTTCGGGAGGGGGGGGGGGGGGGGGGGTCTGACAATAAAAGATGATGAAATTAATGTGACTTCACATTGTACCTAGAATATATTTAAGAATTAGCAATTGCATAGGCTACATCTTACAATACTATTAACCAAATGTAAACTAATGAAAAGTAAATTTAAAATCAAGCTTGTGAAAAGTTGAACACTGAAGAATTTTTTTGTTCTTCCAGTAACTAAGTTTATCTTCAACAAGCACTATGAACATCACTGACAAAGAAATCGGACAAAATATAGTTCCTCAGGTAGACAAAGGAACATCCCTTCACTGCTATTATGTAAAAATGTGTAGAACAGGTAAATATGCATGTGACACCTGTTCTACACATTTTTAATTAATAGCAGTGAAGGGATGTTCCTTTGTCTACCTGAGGAACTGTATATTTTGTCCGCTTTCTTTGTCAGTCATGTTCATAGTGAAGAATGGGTTTAGGGAGTGATTATTTTCAATTTTCTGAATTCCAATACTTACGTTTTACCAGAGAACATAGGCCCAAAGATGACCTGATAAGAAAACACAAGAAAAGAAAATACATGTAAATATTATTTAATTTTTTTGATTAAAAAAATTAAACTGCACAATCTGATCTCTCAGCACATTCATGTAAGGTGCGAATCCACAAGCATCAGTGATCAATCACCTGTCAAAAAAGTGCAGTCCTCCGAAGCACTCGCAAAGAAAGAAAATCTATGTGACCCAGAAAATGATTTTTTGACTAAACTGTTATGACACTATGTCTGGTCCTAGTAAAACATGAGATTTTCTGCATTTTAAATCATTTAGATAATAAGACTAGAAGTACCTAGCCAAGTCTATAGCCTGTAGAATTGGATGTCTAAATGACAAAACCCAATGAAACAAAAGAAAATCTGCACCAACGTCAAACAATGATACCTTTGTCTTGATAAAGGGGGATATAAAGTGTAGTCTGAAGTTCTCTTGAAGCACCAATTCATAAGATATAGTGCAAGCCAGGGGACAAAGACAACTTAAACAAGAATTATGATAGAAATTTTTATGAAGGGATACATGTAACTGATTGTCAGAATTTGATGTATAGCACAGCCTTTCATGTATCAATTAATCAACCTACATGTATTTTATTTTAAAGTTATGAGATCAAAATGAGAATAGTATTAGTAGTAGGGTCTAGCAAGGGTTGGTCAACTTGGTCATAAAGAGATGCAGGAGGTGATAGTTAGAGTTTAAAAAAAAAGAGGTTTTATAGAAATCAGAAAGGTGCCGAGCACTTGAAAAATGGCACCAAACTCCCCCCTAATTTAAAACAGGATTTAGCCTAGAGGTCTAGATCTACATTGCATTGATCTCAGGGATTAATTAAGGTCATAGTTAGGTCATGAGGATATTTTTCAACTGTAACTTGTAAGGTAATCTGTCATCTAATTTAAAGGAAAAAGTTGATCTTGATGACTTGATCTTGATGTTGATGTTGATGACTCAACACAAAGCAGTTTGCTCAATACTTCCGAGTCTGCGCCTGCGCTGTTCTTGGAGTCAGTGCTCTTTCTCCCTGCTGGACATATCAGCAGTAGAGTGCCAAAACACAGCTGCATACACTTATCCTTTATTTTATACGCAACCTTCACACAACCCGTCAAAATCTACTTAACGACCTATAGAAAGCCATTTATGTAACTTCGGCAGACTCACAGTGCTGACGATCTCCGACCTGAGCGGAGGAAGGAAACAAGAGAGAGAGAGAGATATAAAAAAAATTAAAATAAAATTAGGCCTAGATCTAGATCTAGATCTAGATGTAGTCTAGATCTAGGTTAGATCTAGACTCTAGACCTACTCTTAGTTTTTGTTTGAGGCAATTAAACCAGATGTAAATTCCACAATGTGTAGGTCTTTGATAGCTAGTGGGTAAACTAAAGAAAGATTTCTTTAAATGAAGAAGATACAAAAATGGTTCCACAATCGCACAAACATCAAGTCAAAAGACAACATGATTCATGAATGTTTGAAAGTTTGAAAAGTTTTGATATTCATATCATAAAAAAGGGGGAAATATTTCTATAGCCTATCTAGGTAGACATATGAAATAGATCTTTATGGGAGGAGAAGTTCTATAAAGATTCTTCATAAGAGAGAAAACAAATAATAACACTTATCAGAAGTGGCAACGCAATGCCCATGGCCATGCCCATGGTTCTACTCCGCGCGCTTTTCTTCCAGCAGAGGGGCGCCAGAGGAAGCGGTGTGTGTACCGGTTCCGCCCTAGCCGATGCTCGTTGTGCAGGCTAGCTACGCACAGTACAGGTACTGAGCTGAGCTAATCAGCGCTAGGCGAAGTTACTCTCTGAATAATAATATGCCTCAAACTCACCTGAATTTGTCCTTTATTTCTGTGTCCGGGCCTCACTCCATCGATGGCATCTACACACGACATCATGATTCTGGAAGATAGATGAAAGGAAGATGGAAGACTAAAAAATCGGCTCAGTAATTCTGTTGATCTGCAATCCTGTTCAAGCAAAAATGCACATAGCATTCGAATATCGACGCTACTCAAATTTGGCGCGCTAGCTAGCTTAGCTTTGTTTGTTGAGTTACCGGTACGTATATAGATGGCGCTCTTAATTTTCAGCTGCGGGTAAGTCTTCACTCGATCAACTAGAGTTAGCATTCGCCCATAATTTTAGTAAAGTGTTGGGAGCCCCAAAAATTTGATGGCCAAATTTCACTTAAATTGTATCATAAGATCCCCGTGTAATGTGAGAGTGTCATGTAAGACACATTTCTGCAAGGATTTTCAAAACAAATGTGTCTGAAGCCTATGAGTCACAAATTTAGGTTTTCTGCGTACAACAGAAAACCCAAATTATTGTAGACTATTCTGTTATCAATATTTCTTTCAAACACATTTTTTTTTGTGGGGGGGGGGGGTCGAATCTTTGCAGAGGTGTGTCTCTAATGACATCCTCTTTCAGTGTTTTTTCATCCATGATAGATTCATAAAATTTATTTTCGATGCTTATTGTAATCCTCCATATTTTCTAATCAAAGCAAATATTGAAATTTACAGCACAGGGAGGGGGTAGGGGGAGGGGGGAGGGGGGAGGGGGGGGCGCGAGTCTCCAATGAAGTATGAGCCCTATTGGTACAGTTCAATCAACCTTTCCGAAAAATCTCCCATAAGCAACAAGCAAACAAACAGCACATAGATAAGTTAGTAAGTAAGTAACTAAGTTGTAAGTAAGAATGTAAGTCAATAAATAAATAAGTAAAATAATGAATACGAAAATAAATGAATAGATAAAGAAATATAAATATAAATATAAATCAATAAACCAATAAACAAATAGTTTTATGGTCCATCATGCAGTGATCATACGGAATGCAGAGAAAGGGTTGATTACGGTGAACCCAATTTGCATATGATGCAAATAAACGATCGTCATAAGAAAGTCAAGTTATTCTAACTGTCTGACTAAAAAAAATCAAGTCCCCCCAAAATTGAGGCTGTATAGAATTTAGACTCATTTCCAAAATATAAAAAAAGCCTGATTAATTGGACCAAAAGTTTGGCAACTCATGGACTAATTTGTGTTCAACATTATCTGATGACAATCTGAGTGTTTTTCAATTTCCCTTTTCTTTTTTCATCTATATATTGAAAATATCTTTGAAACAACAGAAGCTGGGGTTGCCTTTTTAAAAGGAAATTATAAATTAGATAATTATAAGCCTTAATATATTTACCTATTTTATATTATTATTTGCTTGTATTAGTTATATGTTTCACTTTATTTGTATCAGCTTTAAGCTGTGGTTTTGAATACTATCAATAATCCTTGTCAATTTTATTGAATTCAATAGTTGATGGACTCATTTGCATATAATAAAATGCCTATACAAATCGAAGTGTGATTTTCCACTAACCGTTGAGCTTGATTGATCCACGGTCTGCTATATCCCTGACCGATAAAGTAATCAAATATGATCCCAAAAGTTTTAAAATTGCTCATAGAACATGATATGAAGATTAGCTTCTGCCACTTAATTAAAATTGATATTTCCATCTTAAATTTGCATTCAAATGTCGAAAGCTATTCAAGGTGAACAAGGTGGGTGGATTTACACCGTTGCCAATATTTACCATTGTATATCAATTTTAACTTTTATTTCCACGTTTAGCCTTAATATTAATGGGAGTATAGCCTTTAGCAATACGGTATTTCATCAGCATTTTCAGAATCATTTATTTTAGTTTTGGTTGTGAGACGTTCAATAATGATCTGAAGATTTCTGAATTTTTGTATTTTGTAAACATTTTGATAACATTTTGAAAATGTTCATGCATCTACCGTTTATTAACTAGTGTAAAATATTGAGCTATCGGCTGTATACGTGTATAACGCTAGATTCCAAGTGTTCATTCAACTATTTAATTATCGTTATTAATATCCTTTTATATAATAAACTTATCTACATTGGCCTATTCTGCAATTTATAAGCATATATATTCATTGTTTTGATCTGGAAATGTTTTCATCTTTTTCAATTAAATTAAAAGCATTGAAAATTCAATTTTCATTTTTTTTCAATCAGATACTTGAAGCTAAATATGAAAAATAGAATTTTTTAATTTGACGGTCGCTTATTTGCATAATATGCAAACTTAGTTCACAATTTTGTTATAATTAAAATTGCAGCCGGGCAATCATGGCATTGAAAACATAATTTCGGGAACTTGAATGATTTCAATTGGGTACTCATTTTTTAAAATTTAGATACAAAATCATTATATGAAAAGCATATGAATTTTATTTCATTGCTGAAGTTTCTTTTGCATATGATACACGATTCGAGAACAAAAATCATAGTGGAATTAATATGGGTTTTTCAACAATAGCGGGTTTGCAGTTACTTTTAAAGTATATGTTTTTTCAGAGTAATAGTCTACCAAGGTGCACTGCAGTGGACTTTTTCTCTCAGTTAGGACCTATATAGCTCCGAGTTGAATGCCATTTCGACTCTACATAGGCATGGACCCATTTCGATTTTCCCTTCTTTTCATTGTAATTCCTTTTTTTGGTTATCAAAATTTAAAAGATAGGATCGGAAAAGGGAGAAACAATTAAAGAGAGAGAGAGAAGCCTATATAATTTTTGTTTACTGTTATCCACATTTTATGTTTTAAAAAGAGAGAGAAAAGAGAAAGAAGGAAATTAATATTAAAAAGAAAGGTGTTGGTGATTATAGTCAGTTCTTGACTGATTGCCATCACAACAAAAAACAAAAACAACAAAGAAGTATAGGATGACATTATGATGAAAACGGTGAATCGTGATTTCTCTCAGACTTGATAAAAAGCCAGGTAGATTGATAACCGTTCTCATAAATTAGGCGTAGTGTTTGGGCATAGTCACCTGTACAGCATAACCGATTGACACCATTCTGCTACTCATGAATATTAATGAGTAAATAATACCTTGACAACAACCGACAGCAGTGCAATCAACATGGCCGATGAAGAGGTATAATTTACACATTTTTTACAATTATTTGATAGAATTTCATGTGAATATGAGTACTTACATTATCGAAGCATAGGTTTTCGCGATTTAATTTTATCTCACTCAGTTCTATGACTTGGTTTGCGGAGTTTAGAGTGGAGTTCGCACGGTCGCATTTTATTCAGTCCCATGTGTGTGATTATGCGTGTGTTATTTTGAGTGTGAAAGACTATAAGGGGGTTCACTATGTACAGACAGGAAGGATTAGATCTCAGACAGGAATTGGGTCAAAACACCTTTATTAGGCGACAACGGCCTTAGAAACAACAATCGGAATCTTACAGACAATCGTCCATTTTCTCCTCTCCCGATCCCTCTCCCGATCATATCGGTATCGGTATCGGTTATCACGATATCAATCCCTATACTCTCCCCCACCAAAAATACCCTACGGGGTTTTTTCAAATTATATTCAAACATTTCCAAACTGCTCATAAAACAAGCCAAATCTCGCCCGAGACATATACATGTGAAGCAACAATATTGCAACCAAGCGCGCGTACAGACAAAACAGACGACCACCAGTTCTCTTAATTTGCTGTGATCGCTATCGACTCTTTCTATGTTGAGTTCAGGGTAAATCTATACACCCAGTTCGCTTGTCTGCGCAAAATACCATCAGTACTCAAAAAATGTACACTGTAAGAATAACGAACACCGCACCCCAAAGGATAGCTTCCCCCTTTAAAACAGAGATGCAAAATACATAATGCCAAAAACCAACAAGAAAAAACGTCCAATACAGATTATCGTCTGAACATGTTCAAACATATCCATGAATACCTTTTCAAAGAAAATCAAAAGAAGTAACACAGCACCAGCACAGCTGAGTGCTCTTTTGTTTGATTTCTTTCTAAAAGAAATTACCCTTAGACAAATTTGTAATTTATCCCTACCTGCATGGCTAAAGTGTAGGATGAATGACAACTAAACATACTTCGTATCCTCTATTAATTTAAATCCGTTCAGCAGGTCCGGCAAAAACATTTAAATATATATAACAATATATATATATATATTATATTGTTATACCCAATGTCAGGTCAGATATAGTGTTTACCAAAGTGTAGGACGTTAGCAAAACTAACATCTGTATATGTGTAAATTATAAACTACACCCAATTGGTAGCCCTTTTGTTTCGTCTATCTTTTGAAACACAAATTCTGTGTACATACTGTATAACAATTTCATGTGCACAAAAATTCAGTGTACATGTATAACTCTAAGTAAAAACACTAGATGCAAAGACAGAAAATTCGCAGGGAATCACAAGTTTATATACAGTTCCAATTTTCAACAATTTCCAACCGGTTGTATTTATCCTTTAACTGTAAAGATAAGGATCCGACATGTTAATATTATAATAGTCATCAACAATTCTGAAGAGTGCATAATTCTGCACGAGCCAGAATTAAAGCACATGGGCACGCACCAATATAAATGGTTGACATTAAACATATAACATCAGTTGAAATAAGAGTCTGTTAGAATCTATATTAAGAGTCCAGATCAATTAAACTTAGCGTCCATTTAGTTTCGCGATCCATAGCCCAACTGTGACAGTCCCGCTCTCGACCAAACTGCAATCTTACTCGGCTATAGAGGTAAGTCAATGTAATCGTGAGTCGCGAACTTTCAACCAGTCCTGATCCAATATGCTACAATAAGCGACAATTTTAACAGCGTTGACAACATGCGAAGTCTATGTTCGAAGTAATTAGCACCCTTTCAATTGGTCCACATGAACAATGCGAGTTATCTTCTTGTTGGCAGCGTTCACCACAAGAAAATTCACTGGGGTTAGTTTTTTCTGCACAACAAACGGCCCAGTCCATCGTGGTGCTAGCTTAGCTGAGAAGTTCTTTTTCGCATTTGATAGAGGTTTAGTCTTCACCATGACTTGGCTTCCTTCAGTGATGCGGCACTCATCACGGCTCTGGTCGTAGTATTGTTTGGAGCTACTAACAGCGCGTCGACGATTGTGTGCGATTTCTTCTTGCGTAGGAATGTCTTTGTTTCCCTCAGTCTGCAGGCGGTTAGTCAAGGGAGAAGCCAAGCGCCGTCCAAACATAACTACTGATGGTTCTACACCAAGTGTGTCATGACTACTGCTGTTCAGGGCAAACGCGAGTTCAGCGAGATGAACATCCCACTGTCGATGGTCAGATCCGGTGTAAGCTTGAAGCATGGCCTTGATGTTACGATTCACCCTTTCGACCCAGTTCGTTTGGGGGTGATATGGCGTGATGAAGATCTGCTCAATCCCCCAATCTGTGCAGACAGCTCGCAGAACCTTCCCTCTGAATTGGGGGCCATTGTCCGAGAGCAGGGCTCCTGGAGGTCCATATCTGCAGAACAGCTCCCTCACTAGAGTGGTTGCAACCGACTGGCTGGTAGCTGACTTCAAAGGCAGAATCTCCACAAACTTTGAGAAATGGTCGACAGCCACCAGAATATACTCATGCCCAGCATACGACTTTGGCAAAGGCCCCATGAGATCTACACCAACCTTTTCCCAAGGCCTCGTGGAGGTACTAGACAACATCTTCCCTTGACGTCTCTGGTAAGAAGGCTTTGTTTGAAGACAAACCTTACAACTGCGAATAAAGCTTCTTACAGACCGCGACATACCACTCCACCAGAGACCCATCGACTTCAACCTTTGAAGTGTCTTCTTTCTCCCAAGATGCCCAGCTATTGGCTTGCAATGACACTCAACTAACACTGCATTCTGAAGGGCCTTGGGGATAACTACACATTCATTCTTATACAACACCATTCCCTTCAAACTGAAATCTGAAAACCTCTGAACAGGACCTTGATCCTCCCCACCACCATTCTTTTGCTTTTCAAGGATCTGAATGATTGGCAAAAGATCTGGGTCACTCTGTTGTGCCCTCAGGACAGAATCCTTTGTCAAATCCAAAGGAAGAACGACTTCATCCGTGGCCTCTGACTTGCCAATACAAGATGGGCAAGAGTATTTGTCCACCTCCTCCGCCTCTTGAGAACCAATATGGACACAAACCTGGTGATACCACTTATCACAATCATCACATTGTACCCAACTAACCGACTCATCATCCGGGGAAATGCAATCACTGGCTGCACATAAGTCCTTTTCATGTCCGTCACAGACTCGATCCGACAAAACCCTGTTTACAACTCCCACCAAAGGGGCAACACCTTTCTCAGGAATCCTAGATAGTGCGTCCGGGACATGATGTTGCTTTCCAGGCCTGTATATCACCTGAAACCGAAAATCCTGAAGCCTCAGAATCCAACGAGCAAGTCGCCCATTTTGCTTCTTCTTCCGAAATAACCAGGCAAAGTGCCTGGTGGTCCGTTATTACACGACACTCTCTACCTTCCAGATATGGCCGCCATTTCTCTAGGGCCCATACTACAGCCAAACACTCCTTCTCAGTAGTACTATAATTCCTTTCTGCAGCAGACAAAGACCGACTCGCATAGGCGATAGTTCTCGTCCCAGACGGTTGCTGCTGGATCAGGACTGCACCGACCCCAACATTGCTGGCATCTGTGTGTACAGCAAACCTGGATTCTTCATCAGGGTAGCCTAGTATTGGCTCAGTGAGGAGGCTCTCCTTCAAGGCCTGAAAAGCACGAGTGCAGTCAGCAGTCCAATTCCAGGGAACACCTTTCTTCTTCAATCCATGAAGAGGTGCAGCAACCTCTGAGAAGCTAGGAATGAATTTCTGATACCATCCGGCCATCCCAAGGAACCTCTCTAATTCCTTGATCGACCTAGGTTGGGGATAGTTAACAATGGTAGACACCTTCTCGGGGTCCATCTTTAGTCCATTTGAGCTGACAACATGGCCAAGATATTTCATTTCTTGGCAGGCAAACTGACATTTCTCAGTATTTACGGTCAGACCCGCTTGTCGTAAGCAACAAAAGATCTCCTGGAGATCAGAGATGTGCTGCTCAATATCCGGAGAGAAACACACAATGTCGTCCAAGTAGACATAGCAATTTCGCCCTATCAGGCCATCAAGCACCTTGGACATCAACCGTTGGAAACTGGCAGGACCATTTACCACACCAAAAGGAAGGACCTTGAAGTGGAATAGACCCCTATGACAAACAAAGGCAGTCTTCTCCTCATCCTCATCTGCAACACCCATCTGCCAGTATCCACTGCGCAGATCTAATGACGAGAAAACCGAGGCACCATGCAGAGAGCTCAAAATGTCATCCACTGTAGGCATGGGGAAGGCATCAATCTTTGTAATTGTATTCAATTTTCGGTAATCGACACACATCCTGTACTTCCCGTTCTTCTTAGGGACCATCACTACAGGAGCGGCCCAAGGTGAATCTGAAGGCTCAATCTTCCCCATGTCCAGAAGCTTATCCAACTCTTCATCAAGAGCTTGTCTTTTCTCAGGACTCACCTTGTACGGGTGAGAGCGGATGGGAGAAGCCCCTCCTACATCAATTCTATGAATAGCCATGTTCGTATGACCAGGTACCTCACTAAACACATCTGGGAAGTCTTGAAAAACCTGATCTAATTTCTGTCTATCTGCTTCAGTTAGATCAAGTTTCTTCATCTCATCCTCAGCTTGGAGATGAACATCGACTTCTTCTTCAACATGTGACATCTCCTGCCCTCCATTCAACGAGAACTTAACTGGCCGCTCATTGGCCCCATTGCTACTTGTGCTATAACTACGACTGCCAAAATCTATAATAAGTTTCACCTTTTCAGCAAAGTCAGCACCAAGGAGGACAGGTACTGGGAGCCTACCAACCACATGAAAGACCTCAGTCGCAGTGCTGCCTCCTAGACCCACTTGCAGGGATGCTAAACCATCAGGCACTAAGGCGGTTTCATTGATCATGCCTAACACCCCTTCAGTTTCACGAGTAACCTCTACCCCTAACTCCTTACACAATTCAAAAGTGACCAGGGAAACCTCTGACCCCGAGTCCAGCAGGGCTTGGGTCTTCACCACTCTGTCATCTAGACCCTGAACAACAACATCTGCAATTGTAGCATCACCCCTATCCTTTGCAATGAAATTGCACCTTGGTGACGGTTCTCGAGTAAAGCCCTGTGGAGGTCCTCCCTGGAAACCCGACCCTGTGGCCCCCGGAGGTACCGGACAGTTGGCAATTCTGTGCCCGAGCTGGCCACACCGGTAGCAGGCAGCATTAAAGGATCTACGTCCCGTGGGGTTACTGCCTGCACCTGTCCGTCGTGGAGTGGAGGGATCACTCCCTGGGGTTGTGTTACCCGCATTCGCCCCCCTCTGGATTACTAATTCGTCCGCCTTGCGCGCAACTACCATGAGAGATGTGGCTTGTAGCTCCCTTAGCTTTAACCTCAATACTTCATCGGGTACTCTCTCTAAGAATTGGTCAATCATGACCAGATTGAGCCCTTTAGAGACTTCAGGCATCTCTACTGCCTCCTGGGGTATCTCAACCCACTTCAAAAAATAATCTTGCAAATGACTAGCGAATTCTTCATAACTTTCATTGCTCTTCTTATGTTCTTTTTTGAACTTTATTCTGTATGCCTCCGGAGTGAGGTGGTACCTTCTCTTTATGGCCAGGACAACATCATCATAGTTGTTTTGTTCTCTTGTACTCAGGGCGTGGAATGCCTGCTGAGCTCTTCCAGTAAGATATGGTTCTAACAGCCGAGGCCATTCACTCTTTGGCTTGTTTGCTGCCAGGGCTAGTCGCTCAAAAGTGCTAAGGTAGCACACCATATCATCATCGTTACTTAGCTGATGTAATCCCTTTAACGGAGGACCAGTTTGTGCAGAGCTACCGATTGCAGCAGACAGTAAGGATTTGCATAGTTTCTCAGTCTCATGATGATGAGAATCTTCAAGGTGCTTCATGACCCGCAAAAGGTCATCCACACCCACACCTGTATTTTTTGGTTCATCCTCTACCAGCTTAGGCAAATCACATAAACATGAGATCCGCTCTTGCTTGGTCTTTACAGCATTGGTATCAATATGATTCAATTCACACAAGTGTGCTATGTGCTCAGCTGTAAATCTGCCGAGATATGCTGATCGGTCTGTCATGGTTGATTTTATCTTTTATTGAGCACTGAATATTATACTAGACTAGTCTAGATCTAGTTTAAATTTAATTTAGTGACCTATTGAACGTGTGTGTTTTAGTGTATGGTGTATGGTTAGTGAGAGTGGTCTAGACTTCTATCTACTATTTTAATCAAACTTTTATTTATTTAGTGTAGTCTAGACCCTATGTATTTATTTATTTTTCTATTTCATTTTTTAATGTTACTTCAATACTAGACTACTTGTTTAATAGCTACCTTAACTTTGATTAGTCTATCTGTAGAGTCTAGACTAGATCTAGACCCTAGATCTACTGCTAAATCAACAAGCACTAGTAGTAGGCCTATAGGCCTGCACAATAAGTGGGGCAACAGTCACACACTGCATGAAACAACCGTGTCAATTAATTTCTCACCCAATCCTTAGATTTCCAAAAAAGCCATAGCACAAAGAAAATCCCTGCCGATTACGCCAGTATAAGGGGGTTCACTATGTACAGACAGGAAGGATTAGATCTCAGACAGGAATTGGGTCAAAACACCTTTATTAGGCGACAACGGCCTTAGAAACAACAATCGGAATCTTACAGACAATCGTCCATTTTCTCCTCTCCCGATCCCTCTCCCGATCATATCGGTATCGGTATCGGTTATCACGATATCAATCCCTATAAGACTAGACGGCGCTTAGACCTTTGTCACTTTGTTTAAATTTATAATTTGTGTGCTTTCTTCGCGTTCTTTTTTTTTTTTACCTTGAAGTTGAACCCTGGGTAATTCTACAATTTCTGCCCAGATTAGTCACACTTTCAGAACATCCTAAAAATGCTCTAAAAGACTAAATACGACTAGTCTAGAGTAAACTAAAGGAGCCGGTAATCGGCCAGCTCCAGTTTTCGGCCGATTGGTTGGATGCAAGGTAAAATCACTCTAAAATACATCGCATAATAGCATAACACATATCCCACACATACCATACCATGCCAGTGTCACTGAAGAACCACATTTGCAATGAAAAATATATCCTAAAATATCACATTTTAGCGATGTAATCGGTGGTCCCGCTACCCGAATCTGAAAAATCGAGTATCTTACGCGTGTCTGTAAGAAATATGGGTACCATAAAATGAGCTTTATTTCAAGTATTTTTCAGATTTAGAGCCCAATTTTGTGCTGGTCGCAAGCTCAAAAGTATCTCATCGCATGTATTAAATCAATGCAGCCGCACACCGCAACGCACACACGATATCTCTGTCTAATTCAGATTCCAATATCCGATCACAACAGTACTAGTTTTCAGCCTGGCGAGCTCCGGTGAGCTCCGGTGAGCTCCGGCGTGGGATATCTGCTCCGCCCGCTAGTGCTATAGATCAGCGCGGAAACGCACGACGCGTGCGCGCGCTTCCTATTGACTTTGTACATGCGGCCGAAAACTGGTACGCTATGCCGAAAGCTGACTCCGAAACAGTGAAAATTGAAATGAATATTGTCATGGCAATTCGTGATTTTTTTCTGGGATTCTTGTTTTGTTTAAATAATAATAATATTTGCTTCATGATTTGAACAAAAAATGATAATAAATAGGAAGTAAAGGGTCCTAAAAATAGGATTTTGTCTTAAGTGGCCGAAAACGGGCTCCTTTACTCTAAAATGAGTAAAAAAAATGATAAATTTACCTTCTTGAGACAAACTAGTCGAAGGTCAACATTAAATTTAAAGTTCATTTGGTCGAATTTTAGGCATTTTGTCAGGACAATGCAATACTTTTTCTAACCGTGAGTACGGGCATACAGGTATCGCAATACCTCCACTGATATTTTGATCGTTGAAATCGCGATACTTTGATTGATAAAATAGCAAGCTCCAAAATATAAAGAAAGAAAGACAAGAACAATACATAATGAAGAAAGAGGAGAATATGAAGATACGAGATGAGATATGGTATTTATTAAGTAGAAAAGAGCACTCTTTCTTATTAAAAATGCAATGTAATGACTGTTTACTTTGTGTTTTAACTTGTTAGACACCAGCACAAGATCCTGTCCAGGAATCGACAGAAGCTCCAGCTGAGGCAGAAGGGGCTGTAGAGGAGGCTAGTACTCCTGCACCAGAAACAGCGGAAAATCAGGGTATGAATGCATAAAATTATAATATACATGTACATGTATTTCCTTTTTAAAATGTCTTAGACTAGGCCCTTTATATATTTTCCTAAATAAAGTTTTCTTTTCTTTTCTGCTGTCTGTTATTTGAACATGCTATTATTTCCTCTTCCTTTTTATTTTTCCTTTCTTTGTTTAAAAAAACGATAGTTCCTGTATTTCTGTTGTGTTGTGTCTCGATCTCCTTATCCTTCCCTATTTCTTATATACAACAAATCTTTCAACTCTCTCTCTCTCTCTCTGTCATTTCATATCACCATGTACTCCATTTTCATACAGTATTCTGCATATCTCTCTAATTGTCTCTTTCAATCTTCGCTTTCTTACTCATTTTTTAGAAACATTACAAAGTTATATTCTGTGTATGATAATTTGTTCAAAAAGAAGGAAAAAGAACATTACATTTTTAAACAAACTTATGTTTTTTGTTCTATAGAAGCAACTCCACCACCAGCAGAAGGAGAGGCTTCTCCAGCAGCAAATCAAGAACCAACCGACACCCCCGCTCCAGAAGAGGAACAGGCAGAGCAACCCACAGCAGATGGCTCCCCAGGGGCAGCAGATGGGGATGCCTCACCGGCTGAAGGGGGTGAAGCAACACCAGCAGAAGCGGAGGGGCAGGAAGGAGGAGAAACGGCTTCACCTGGTGCTGATGGAGAGAAGGGTGAAGGAGATGGAGAAGTGAAGGAAGGAGAGGAAGGCAAAGAGGAAGAAGAGCAGAAACCTGCTGAAGGTAAGGCAGTCATATGGTATCTTGATCTCCTGTGATGTGTTATTTGAAGTTGATTTAATCATTTTATAATTGTTCCATTGTATACTCTTGACTGTAGTTGTTATTATTACATGATATACGGTAGATTGTATTCGATTTGTCAAAATATTGAAGATAGACATTTTTATATACTCACATGTTATTTTAAGAATAAATGAAAAAAATAAAGATTGTAAACAGTTATGTCATGTGTGAGTGTGTGTGAGAGAGAGAGAGAGAGAGAGAGAGCAACATATCGGTACACTACTTTCTCCCTGGAATATTAGAGGTTCATATAAGGCTTAATAGTAGCTTGAATTAGGGTAAAATTAACTGATGATGGGTGATGAGAGAGATTGTGTTTTTGCTCTGCATGTATTCGTATGGAATTTTAAGCCTCCTATACCTAAAAATGATAATCAGTGAAACCTGCCCGAGCAACCACCTGTATATTTAAGACCACCTTGTATATAAAGACCACAATTTGTTTTCTTTGACAATTGTTTCTCATAGAAATCTGTACAGAAAGACCACCTGCCTATAAAGACCACTTTTTGGGTCTCCCATGAGTGATCTTTATATACAGGTTTCACTGTACAATGAAATTGTATACATTGCACAAATAAAGTAAGACAATTGGTAAAAAGCAAGATGTATTTTCTGTGTCTTTTTCAGGTGAAACTGGAGATGGTGCGGAAGGCGGTGAAGGTGGAGAGGGCACACCTGAGGGAGAAGAAGGGGCAGCAAAAGAGGAGGGGGACAAAGAGCAAGGAGAAGGGGAAGGGGACGGAGAAGCTACCCCTGCTGGAGACAGCACCAAATCACCTGGTGGAGGTGATGAAGAAGGATCAGAGAAACCAGAGGGAGAAGAAGAGGAGGAAGGAGAAGGGGAGGAGCCCAAGAGTCCGATACCGCAGAGCGACACATTTCAGGAAGGGGATAGACCGGAAACGCCCACTGTCCAGGTCATGGAGCCCCTATCCAGAGAAGGGTCACCCCCTCCGAATGAACCAGCTCAGATTGAACCAGCCCAGATTGAACCTGGAACTCCAGAAAGAGAAAGTGAGACATTTTTCCAGATTAATTTTTATGTTCCCCTCTTTATTCATGCCTTCCTTCCTATTTTTTTCTGTCAATGATTTCTTTTTGTACTCAAGTGTTAACTGTTTTTCATTGCTCTTATACCCCATTCACAGTGGCCTCAAACACCGCGACAGCAGCGGGACTGTCCCGCTGCTGTCGCGGTGTTGTCTTCAGTGTGAAGGCTCGGACCCGTTATAAACTATCGCGGGATAACACCGCCTAGCGATAACGCCGACACAAACTATCGCTAGGGACGCCTAGCTACAGCAGCGGGACAGTCCCGCTGCTGTCGCGGTGTTTACTCAGTGTGAAGGCTCTCCGCTATAACACCGCGACAAACACGTGTGATTTGTTTACTTACCTATCACTGACCTCTTTTCTACAGCAATGGGGAACATAAAGTGAAATAGAAATAAAGTAACCAGTGGATTCAAATTGATTTTATTATTATGTAGGTATTATAATTATCCAAATAAAAATATTTCACACTTCAAAAAATTAAAATATTCTGACTGGAAGCAATAAAAATGCTAGTTTTTTTAAAAGTAATATGATCGAGGATACAAAAAGCAACTTGACATGTTTACCGCGCAATTTCAAGCAAGTATTTCCGGTCATATCGGGGTCACTCGCGGGTCATGAGCCATGCATACACGTGTTTGTTACGGAGGTAATAAAAATCACCCGCTGCAGCGTGAATGGGTACATGATATTTATCCCGCTGCTGCAGCGGGATAACTTTTCTACTGTGAATGCATTTGTAGCGGTGTTATGGCGGTGTCGCCGCTCCGCTACAACGCCGCTACAAATTTCAAAACCACTGTGAATGGGGTATTAGTGAAATATTTTGGCTTGCTAACATGATTCTTATATGAATGTGAATAGTTTCGGAAAACCTATTTGATATTCTTTTTGTCTTCAGACAGGACCAACTTTAAATTTAATGATTTTTTTCCTTAACTTTATTACTATAAATTTTGTTGTGTCCCTCAAAAATATTTACCTGTAAAGCCCCTTGTCACTGTCTAAGTTTTTGTTTGTTCAAGACTATCATTTTACAATTGTATCAGTTACAAAACTGGAAAACATGTTGAATTTGAAAAGCTGTCTTACCTCATTATGATATATTTGTTTTTCTATTTCTTGACTTCTCCATTCAGTGTTCTCTTTATTTGTCAATCTTTTGTTATTTTAATCTATTACTGTTATTGTTTATGTTATATTTTGCTCCAGTATCTCCACTTCCAGAAGAAGAGGCTCTACTTGAAGAAGAGGAAGAGGATCTTATATCAAGAGAAGAACTTATAGAAATGTACCAGGTAGGAATGCCTTGGAGGTATATATTCATCATCAAAAATATAAAAAGAATAAAACAATATTTTCAAATCATCACATACTACCCTTGTAATAAATTGAAAATATACGGATCCAAAAATTGCATAGCAAACATTATTGGTTGAGCTAGTTTAATAACAAGACAGGGTAAAAAAATATTCAACTTTCATGCTGCAGTTATTGTGCCAGTGTTCATGATATATAATTAGAAACAGTTTGAAGATTTTCTCAAGGCATATACTAAAATCGTATATGATTTGAAACAAGACCATATATATCTCGAAAACAATATTAATAGAGTATCTAGACACTGGACAGTAGACATACACCAGTCAACTTGACACTTGATGAAAATAGGAACAGGTTCGCCTCTCTATATGAGATGAAATTCGACTGGCAAACTGAATTCCAAAACCTATTTGAGTTCATTTAATATAACTGTATACGTAGCTAAATTAAATTAATATATATAATTAAATTTGTTATATACAGGGAATGGTGACAGAGCGTGAGCAACTGAATCAACAAAATGTCCAACTCCAACACAAGCTTGCAGAATACTTCCGCAAGAAGAAGACAGATGACCAGAAACAGGAGATGGACAAGAACGTCACTGACCAGGAACAGAGATATCTTAAATACATGTGTAAGTATATTGGATATGGAGCAAGAGAGAGGGAGGGAGGGAGAGAGGGAGAGACTGAGAGAGACAGATAGAGATTGAGATGTTGTCGTGAATAGTATAAGAAAAGAACATATACAGGAATGACAGAGAGACATAGACACTGCAAATAATTTGAAATAAAAGATAAGAATATTGGGAGAAGGGGATGGGTTAAAAACATCAAGATATAGGCAGAAATAGAATGACAGACATATAAACTTGTTTGGCAAGAGAGAGATATCTAAAGAGAATTTGAGAAAGACAGAGGGGTGAGTTAGAAAGAGAGAGAAGGACATTTATCAGGCAGACATAGACACAGAAGAAGAGTTATACCGGTAAGACAAAGCTCGACAAAAGAGACCACAAGACGGATTGATTTAAATAGAAACTGCTATATGTGAGAGAATTGTTAGCAGGCGTTACCCTTTCACAGCCACTGGTCTTCCTACATACATTCAAGCTGAAACTGCAAATACTTGTCACAAGCATTTACCAACAACATATTACATTACATTATCTACATTATTACTTCATTTCATTTGATTTAATTATCAGCGAACTTGGACGAGCTCAGAAAGCAGGAGGAAGAGGAGAGAGAGCTGTCCTTCCTGAATCTAGAAGAGCTCAAGGACCGCAAGCTGGACAAGCAGGACTACGTGGAGAACGAGAACCAGCAGTTCCTGGAACTCAAGAGACAAGTGGCCCTGACAGCCATCAGTAGCAGGACAGGAAAGCCCATCGCTCAGAGGGTAAGTCTTGTCTTGATTTTTCCTTTGATTGACACCCACAATCAAATGATTAAATTATTTTGGTATATAAACAGGTGTAGACCAAACTTGTCCTGTCTTGCATTGTCCTGTTGTTCTGGTAAAATAAGATGAGATATTACTTGTATTATTATTATTATGACTTCTAATCACACGTATAGTCTTCTAATTTCTGATGTCTTGATATTTCCTTCTCTAACTGTATTCTGTCTAGTGAGAAACAGAAGGACTTTAACTACATGGAAAGAAAATATATGTTAAAAATCTTTTGGCTCAGAGGTTGAAGTGACATTTTCAAATGTATGTCGACTACACATTGAGAAAGTTTAAAGGATTTCATGAAGGATAATTTTTTTTGTTAACTGGGCCCCTGTTAGCATTAATGTCACCTCCATGTTCTTTCTTCTTATTCTTCATCTCTCTCTCTCTCTCTCTCTCTCTCTCTCTCTCTCTTCTTTCCTGCTTTGAGAAACAATGTATTGAGTGCCATATAAATGCTGTGAATTAAAAATTACTACATGTATTTATATATGTGGCATCTGTCATTTAGAAGTCATCTGAAATTACTTGAACTTACACATAAGTAGATTGAGGCATTTGAGATGCAGTCACAATTAACTCACAAAACTGACACAGGTTATTGACATTTTCTTTTTAATTTTCGTTATCAGGAGGTTGAGGTGTACATCTTCAACGAGCTGAAGAAAGAGGAGGAGGTGAAACAGGTGAGACTGGAGAACATCAAACTCAAGAACCGTCTTAAGAAGAGAGAGCAGCAGCTCAAAGCCAAGGAGGAGCTCGCCGAGGGTCTCCATCTGATTGACTTTGAACAGCTCAAGATTGAGAACCAGACGTACAACGAGAAGATTGAGGAGAGGAATGAGGTAAGAACGAGATGTAGAGCTAGGGGCAGCATTTGATAGAATATGATATTGTAATTTAGCTACTATTGATAAGGGGTTGGTTATTTTAGCCATGATAGATTTTCATGATGTTGCTACAAACTTTATGCATCAGGATTAACATAAATTAAAGAGAAGGTTGAGTTCTGGGAAGAGGTGAAAAATAATTTGTGAGCGTTATCATTCTTATGCAAGTGTGGAAGAACATCAGATGAGACATGTTCCCTTAAAAGCATGGCTCTTCAAATGCCTTCATATTCTAAATATGTCATGTAAAATCGTAAAACTCCGGGGTAGGATTTTTACGCCACATGTTTGTGTAGTCCCATATACATCTTTCTGTGTACAGTGTTTGTAACTTTACCAAGACTTGGCCAAAAATCATTTTGATGATTCCAGAACTTTGCAATACACACAAATTCTTATATGCTAGATGATCAAACTTTTCTGGTCGATTCCACACCGTTTCTTTCACAATGCAATCGCATGACCAGAACTCAACTTCATCTTTAAAGAAGACATAGATGACGTTAACCAGTACCGGTATTTGCCAAGCTACACTCTCTTTGATAGATGACAATTAGACAAATACATGGCTGTGAAGTCACCAGAGATTTTGATGAATCATAACTACTTGTAAATGAATTGGGGATATAAGAAATTAGGTGTATGGTGCCCAGTGATTAGATCAGGATTGGGACAAGTGATGTTTCGATGACTTATTGATGAAAGATGATCTATTATGTGATGGCTTTATCGTTTTCCAAGAGATTTCATTTAAAAAATGTATCTATTTTAGATCACCATTCCATTTCTGTTAATTCATGATATGAAAGATGCCCTACTCAAACCAGTAGTTTTTGCTACAAACTTCCTCACAAAATTATCATCTTTCTGTCTCCCCCCCCCCACTTCTCTCTCTCTCTCACTCCCTCCCCCTTTCTCTCTCTCCATCTTCGCCATCTTTCACTTTATCTCTCTCTCTCCCCCTTTCTCTCCCTCTTCCCCCTCTTTCTCTTTATCTCTCTCCCTCTCCTCCCCCCTTTCTCTCTCTCTCTCTCTTCCCCCTCTTTCTCTTTATCTCTCTCCCTCTCCTCCCCCCCTTCTCTCTCTCTCTTCCTCCTCTTTCTCTCCCTCTCCCTCTCGCTGTCTTTACCCACTAAACAGGAGTTACTGAAATTGAGGAAGAAGATCACGAGCACTGTGCAGGTCCTGACCCATGTCAAGGAGAAGCTCCAGTTTGTCCAGGCCGAGAACCATGTACAGAAAGGCAAGCTGAGAGAAGTGGAAGAACTGGTGGCGCAGGTAAGCACAAGGCCTGGTTTGATCTCTTGCATTGTATTCTCCAGTGTTGCAGGCCACTCAATGGCCCATAAACCATTGGCTGATTGCACAAGAAGTTGCTGTTCTACCGTATGCAAATTAAAAGAAAAAATTAAATGCAAGTCCTGAATTTGGGATTCTCATTGGTTGGAAATCAAGTTGCAATTAATGTGAGTTGCATTCAAATGAAACTCTTTATGCAAGTCCTAAATATGGGAGTTTCATTGGTTGGAAATCAAGTTGCAATGAATAATTTGAGTTGCATTCAAATGAAACTCTTTATGCAAGTCCTAAATATGGGAGTTTCATTGGTTGGAAATCAAGTTGCAATGAATAATTTGAGTTGCATTCAAATAAAACTCTTTATGCAAGTCCTAAATATGGGATTTTCATTGGTTAGAATCAAGTTGCAATGAATACAACTCTTTATGCAATGAGAACTAGAAGAAACAAATCTGTTTGAGGGCAACGAGTTCTGGATTTTCAATTCAGTCCATTCAGTCTATTCAAATTCTATGCATCAGGGCCCTGTTGCACAAAACTTTAATACCATTATTGATGGTAACTTTGCCATCAATGGTAACTACCATGGAAACCTTGATTTTGATTGGCTGTTGATTCCTGTTACCAACGGGGCCCAGCAATGACCTTAATGAATTCCAAAGAACCAATCGAAAAAACTTTACAAGCTCATTAAACAATGATATTATATCACATAAAAGATGAAAAATACATTACTTTGCTGTAAAGAGATATACGCCTATTACACGCTCATCTCCTCCATGTCAACTTTCTTTTCTTATAGAAACGCGACGTCTTATCAAGAACCAAGAAGGCGCGAGACAGCCTGAGAATCGACAACCAGCGATTGCGGCAGAAGAGCGGCCTCTTGGGCAAAAAGTCTCTCCTATTGGACTTTGAGGAGAGGAAGGATGAGGGAGACGAGTTACGGGCTAGGATGGAATACATGAAACGCCATCATGCGGAACTTACGCTGAATCTAGCTGGAGTCAAGAAGAAGATCGATGCTGTCAAAGCCGGAAGGTCGTGAGACAACCATGAGACAAAAGACATTTCTTGATTCTGGAGCAGTTACATGACATACCAGGAGCTGCTAATCCGTCCAAAGCAATCCGTCTTCATTCTCAATATATTTAAAACAACATTTTGTGGTTGACACTTGACAGCAGAGACTCTTTGAGAAGATTTTTGGGATGTATAATGAACTCTGACCGTGAGCTGCAAATCCATCCAAGCATTTTTTTTCTCCTGTACATAACATATGGACATAATTGGTCTCTCCCCTATGAAAAGGCATTTCTGGATTATAAAATGAATTTGTTGGAGGAAGTCCTGTTGAACCAACCAAGAAAATATTTATTTTCCATATTGTTAGCAAGATGCAATGATTTTATGGTCTTCAATTAAACGGTGTACATGTGCTCTTTGAGGTCCGATCATACAGTGTATGTTGGCACACATCAAATGTTCTGTTTTTACTTGAATAAAATAGACATCTTGGATAGCAAGCAAGCCAGTATTACTGATACCATTACAAGTTCTCTTGAAGAAAGAATTTCATAGAGAATAAGTAAGTTTGTATTCATCCCAATTGAGGCCAAAGTCTGCATAGTATATGTACATGTATAACATATTTGGATGTATGCAAATTTGACATATATATTGTGGGTTAAAAAATCTTTACAAATCTTTTTTTTTGGTTTACTACCTTCAAATATTTCAGTTCTGTTAATTTCTATGAAATGTCCACAGCATATTTACTAAAAAAAAACACCCAAAGCAAACAAACAAACAAGCACACATTTTACACACTTTTGGCAAAAATATAAAGACATATACAATGAAGTATTGCTCTTGAATATATACATGAATTTATTTATTTACATTTGATACAGACTGACACATGGAGGTAAGGTATTAAACACTTTCCTCTGGAAGAAAAGAGGTATATAAAATGTATTCCTTATATTCTAAATAAGGACTTTGTAAACTTATGGCCTCTCAAATAAACCCCCAAAATCTAGAGATGTGATAGCCCCTCCCCCATGAAATGTTTGGCAGGTGCTATTTTCCTCTCTGAAGTTATTTTTTCCATTGAATTAGAATTAATTGTTTTAGTTACAAAACCATTCATTACCTTAAAAAACTAGGATAAGACCTCCTGCACTAAATCTACTCTTAATGTAATATTGTATGTTTCAAAGACAGTGATTTGTACAAAATATATGCCTATCTATAGATATATAAAATACATGTTTCTAACTGTACAATTGGGTGGAAATAATAATACATTCTGAAAACAAAGAGGAGTCTGAGGAGCAGTTCTTTACTTGTACATTTGTCTGTACGAAACTAATGCGCATGCTGTAGGTTAGATTATACACAACATATTAGGTCCAAATGAGAAGATAACAACTTGAGAAAAAAGGGGAGAAAATGACAATACTCATGAATGATCCAATTTATTTCCCAGAGAACACCAAAGTAATGGAAATCTTATTCTCCTTTCCCTCATGAAGGCATTTAAAGTCATCAAGTCATAAATTAAGATGAAACATTTTAATCAATGCTCAATCCAGTCAAGTTTTTACAAGAGATGGTTCAACTATGATTGAATTAGAAAAGAGCCGAGATGGAGAAGACCTACTTTCCAATATGACTTTGATTTGACTTGATTTTCATGTCAATTCCTCAAAATTGAAAACAATTAAAAGCCTGTTTATTCCCCTTTACAGTAATGCCCCGTTCGTAATGATTGTGTTATCATGGACTACGCAGTAAACCTGAATATGGGGCCATGTCAGATGTGAAATGTAACTGGAATTGTTGCAAATGTGCGTTGTTATTTCTTCAAAAGACAATGGAAGAATTCACTATTGACAATTACAATGCTTTTTTGCAACATTTTGACTCGGGGGGGGGGGGGGGGGGGGGGCATATTCAAGTGTACTGCACATTCCATGATTACAAATGGGGCATCATTGTAAAGAGGAATAAACAGGCTTTTCAATGATACCACCGTCAAATATAATATACAATGTACTAACAATAGAGATGTCAACACTTCACCTGAATTTCTTGAGGGGTTTTATTAGGCCTATGTTGCCTAAATTAAAAGGCCCATTGTCAAATGACTATTCCTTCAGATTTCTAAAACGATTAACAAATTATGAATGGCTGAACTGAAATAAAAATAAAAGTAAGATTTGAATCAGCATCACGACACAATACATGTAAACATGCATTCACTTTGGAACTGAGACTAGCCTTTAGTTGTAGTCTTTAAGCCAAGAGTTCCATCTGTTTCCGGACTTCTTCAGCCTGTTGCTTGAATTCTTTGATCTTCGTCTCTGCTATACGTTTCTGTGATGAATGAAAATAAGGTTAAAGAACCCCTTATCAATCCTGCTTAATCATTCTTTTAAATACTTCATTTAAATAGGAATTAGCATACAGTTGAGGAAAAGCAATACAACTGTCTGAAATTGTTAAAGTATTCATACTAGAAACAAATGAGTTGTTACACTTACTTTTAAAAAGCAAATATTAAGAAAATTACAATAACTTGCTCAAACTGACATACACAAAATAAAAATATAAGCGTATCGGAAGATGCATTCTAAATACTTCCCCACTGACCTATACCGGTAATCCTCTTTAATCCTTTTGACAATTAGCTATTTAGGCATTTTCAGTCAAATTCATATGGCAGATGACAATCAGTAACAGTTGTATTTGAACTTTGAAGTATGAATAATACCATTACTTTTTAACCCATTAGCTTTGGGAACCAGGTAGCTCCTGTATGTATCAAATCTATGGGAATGAGAGAATTCAATGGTCGATTAAGTTAAGAATTTTCTATTTTCTACAGAATAAGCAGAAAATCAAGAAACAATCTTTTAAACTTCCATCCAAAGAGAGGTGAATGGTAGATTGCTTACCACTCTTGCTTGTTGACGCTCTGCTATGCTCTTGATGAAATCTGTCACTGTGTACTCTTCCTCTGGTTTCCAGTGCTTTATGAAAGGACACTTTGGTGCATGCTTTTTGTGCTCGCTCCTTCATTGTCACAAGAAAATAGACAAAAATGGGGTTACGGGTAAATCATCAAATTGTAAACAAATATACACTGTATTTTGTCGCCTCAATACATTTTGAGTTGCAGTGGGAGTAATACATTCCAAAAACAAAAACAAAAAATACACTGCATACATTCATGGAAAAAAAATACAAGCACGTGTACATGTATATCCCAGACTGAGAAATGAAAATTAAGAGATACAAATATTAAAAACAATAACAGTACTGCACTTGCATTCTTGCACTGATTATAATATAAAGTCTGCAATGGTACAGCAACAAATTGTAGTGAAATCTAAAGACCTTCAATTAAATAAGATATCTTTTCTGTCAGTTGGGGCCAGTGATTTGGTGTTTTGGCTGTATGGAAGTGGTAAATTTGCCATTTGTTATATCACCCCTACTTCTAGTAGTACTGCCTTGTATAAATACTGAATAGGTGTGATAGCTCAGTTGGTAGAGCAGTGGTGTCATAATCCGGTGACCCAGGTTCGAAATCAAGTCAATGCGCTAGTGCCCTTTGGTAAGGCATTAATCCTCATTACCAGGTCCCTCGGAGAAGACCTAAAGCAGTCGACCGTCTGGTTGCTTACTTAGAAGCATTTATGCTTTCTTAGCAGTCAGGTAAAATTACCACCACCACAAATGAATACATGAATATCTTACATTGGATCATCATCTGGTTCCCATCCATCCAGCTCCTTGAGACACATGAAACACCTGACAGCATCTGGTTCTTGTTCACTTGGGATATGATAGAATCCAGCTTCAGCAAGCTATGGATGGAGGAAACAAACAATACACAGTCAGGCAATTACAGGCACATGAACTATATATACAGGGGTGGCCCAAAAGGAATGCAACAGATGAGAGCTGTAATTTCAACGACATCATTGACCAAAAAAATATATATACATATTTTTTAATTTATTCATTATTATTTTATTTATGTTTTTTTTTAATTTTAATTTATCTAGTGACTTTTTAAAATTTTTTATAAATATTTTTTTTTTTTTTTTTTTTTTGGGGGGGGGGGGGGTATTTTGATTCTAAGGCTAAGCAATGTCATTTTCAAATTTTGCTAACTTTGCTACATGTACCGTAGCCGTGCTAGATGCAGAGAGAAATTTCCGCTTGATCATGGCTTCCCAAGTTCCCATAGATTCACAACATTGCCTAATGAGTGCCTCCATTTCATTTATGTTGTCTTCATTTTCAATATCAAAAGGGAATTGAACATGAAAGGATTCATAGAAAATCGAACCAATAATGTTTGAAAGAATTTAATGAAGCGATACAAATCCTATATTTAATAGGTCTTTGTGACTCACGCTCATAAGTAATCTATATATTTCCTACATTAAATATCTATCAAATTATTTGCAATACAGCGTGGAACGTTTTATGTTAAAAATGAGAGTAAGATCAGTCACACAGCCTGGTAGAGAAAGGTCATGGTCAACATGTTAAAAGGTTTTGGCTGTTGTTGAATAAATTTGTCATTTCTCAAACAGTTCTTTTTCATTTGTGTTTATAGATCTGTAGTTGAATAGTGTAGACACAAGAAAGAGGCTAATTTGACTTTTGCTTTTACTGACATTTGTTGTTGTTATTGTGAATTTTGCACCTGCATAGGATCCGCATCTATGATCCATCTTGTCTAGATCTACCACCATGTACCTAGATTTCTTGCCTACTAATGGCAACGGTCTACATTGTGTGTATAGGACAGGTGGGGCAAGTTGGTTATCCAGACAGTTCAATTTCAATAGATAATTTCAAACGATAATTTGATTTGAACAAGTCTGCATACAAATTTTCCAACTGTGACTGCTCATGAAAGACGTCATCTTATGATCTTTCATGAGCAGGACAGTTAGATAAGAATCGGCTGGAAGATTTTCAACACAGAGTTGCATTTTGACGACCAGAATTTTACCTGAAAAAGGACCATTGGCATTAAAGGTAAAGACCAGTTATGGTCATGTGATTGCATTGTGAAAGAAACGTTGTGGAATCGATCAGAAAAGGTTGATCATCTAGCATCTAGCATCTGCAAGGTTCTGGAATCATCAAAATGATAAGAAATTTGGCCCATTCTTTGTAAAGTTACAAGCACTATACACAGAAAGATGTATATGGGACTACCCTATATCTCTCACAGACCATGAGAGAAACAAATTTACAAAATATATGAATTAGTAGGCGGTTTCCCGGCAAATTTTTTATCATCATGTATTAGTCAAAACATATTCTTTCACATGATTGGTAATGAGAGCTTCCATTTCATTTTTTGAAATTGGGGCGTTTCCAATACTGGTCTTTACCTTTAGACCCTAAATAGATTATTATACAGTCAAGTTGGTAAGTGGAATTGATGTATCCCGCCCCCCCCCCCCCCCCTACAGAGTACAGGTACATGTGCCTACTCTAGAGTCGGAGGGACTGCATTCTTGTTCCCAAAATCTCTGGTAAAGCCTAAACTAAAGCCTTGTAAAGCCTCACTAAAAAAAGTAAAGGTAAAGGGGTACTTTTGTAAAGTTACAAGCACTATACACAGAAAGATGTATATGGGACTACCCTATATCTCTCACAGACCATGAGAGAAACAAATTTACAAAATATATGAATTAGTAGGCGGTTTCCCGGCAAATTTTTTATCATCATGTATTAGTCAAAACATATTCTTTCACATGATTGGTAATGAGAGCTTCCATTTCATTTTTTGAAATTGGGGCGTTTCCAATACTGGTCTTTACCTTTAGACCCTAAATAGATTATTATACAGTCAAGTTGGTAAGTGGAATTGATGTATCCCGCCCCCCCCCCTACAGAGTACAGGTACATGTGCCTACTCTGGAGTCGGAGGGACTGCATTCTTGTTCCCAAAATCTCTGGTAAAGCCTAAACTAAAGCCTTGTAAAGCCTCACTAAAAAAAGTAAAGGTAAAGGGGTACTTTTCAAGCAACAAAGTCAAGATGACCGGGTGTATTTTAGCTTAGGTCTTATAATAATAGATCTATTTGGAAATAAAAAGAGTAGATCTATAATAAATAATGCATCAGATATGTACATCTGCTAAAAAAGTAAAATGAACAGATGAAATTTAATTTTAAGCGCATTCTTTACTGCAATAGACTTTCTACTGGCAAAATCCAGTGAAAAAAATCACGTGGGCTCGGGGCGAATAGCCCCCGAAATGCCCAAAAGAGCCCCCGAAAATCAGAAAAGAGCCACTGTAAATTTGCATAGAGTTCATTGCAAAACAAAATTTAGAGTGTTAATTTCATGCAGGCAAGCTTGAAAAGTAGCCCCCGAACGAAAAATAAATATAATTTTTTTCCCTGCCCCTGGCACAATCGTTAATCATGCCATCCAGTAAAGTTTGCACAGCTAACCCTACTCCTAGTATGCTATGGTCGGCTTCTGTCTATAAAGTTAGGAGCCGATTCTACACAAATAAGAGGCTAACGAACAAAAGAGACAGAATTTTCGGTCAGCTCAAGTCAGCTCAGCTCAGCTCAGTTGAGCCGGTATGTCTACGGTATCTGCTGAACTGTGCATCCCGAACCTCCGGCAGAGCCAAGCCACAGCTCGCGCTGGTTGGCTTATTTTCGTTTCGTTACCTTTTGTGGAACACAGGAACAATCTTCTAGGAAGGGCCAGTCCTTAAACGAATCCAAACGATTTGCCTCAAAATGCATTGCAAATTCTTCCAATTCTGCTTCAGTATCAATGTTTTCCTCCTTTTCTGCCCCCATTTTTATGATTATTCAAATAATTACAACAACACTCCGCAATCCGAAACAACAGTTTTGAAGAAACCGCTATAGGTATAGGCTCGTTCAGTTACATGGACCATAGTAAAATATAATAAAATAGCATACAAATTATTATTGAATTCAAATTGTTGATTGAAATTTAAAAATTCAAATAATATATTTTAATATTAAAATACCTTAGATTAGAATGCACTAGGTATTACTTAGTATCTAAATGGTTCTATTGATTTTGATTAAGAGCATATTTCGCTCTGAACGCTGAGGGCTGGGATTAAAAAAAAAAAAACTGATCAGTGATAAGGACCTACACATGATCCGCTGATTTATTATACAAAAAAGAAGACTCAATGCAATCATATATGATTGCATCCTCTAAAATCTAATAAAGTTTTTTCTGATTGCAACCCCAAAAGCTTTAGAAATTATGAAAAGGAAATCCTACCAAAATAGACAACTCGGGGAGCTTTAGACAACTACTCTAAAAGAAAGCAGAAAAATAAGAATAGCAAACTGATGAAAGTTTCAATTAAATCTGACTAAATATAAGAAAATTATGATTTATTTTCATTTCTTTAAAGTTGTAACTACCGGTACTATACGTATGGGCACTTCAAATTAGCTAAAGCGGTAATGTCAATGTGATGTATAGTGCCAGAATATTTTCCCATCTGTTCAAACATATGAATTTAAATTTTCTAAAATTCATTGCTCAGGAGGGTCTTTTCTTTTGAGTACCAAGGAAAAGGTACTTACGAGAAAAACAGAAATTAATGACATTTTTGTACACGGCAAGCAAACGGGAGAGTTATCCACGTCCTACGTCACAAGAGTTCACTGACCAAACTACCAACTTGAGATTCGCACAGACTTCTGGAGATCTCGGTATTTCAAACGTTTATAACTTCCTTTCTGGTCCGGCTGGCCGATTCATTCCAAACTCTTGCCATTCTGTTTCTTATCTTTCTGCTTTCAATCAAATCAACTGATAACAAGGGTTGGATTGCCCTTTATGGAAAATGGCGGGATTGAAAAGAGGGGAGATGGGAAGAAAAAAAGAAAAGATGAAAGCATGGAGCTAGACAGGAAGAAATGTAATACCTATAATCTAAAATCTTGTTCAGCATGCCACCTCGATCCCTATCAGAACGCCATTTATTTGTGTGCATATTTTCAATGAATGTCAAGAAAACTAAGTCAATGATTTTTAGTAGAACAGAGAATAAGCCTATTATATGTTTGAAACTGGATGGACATATCATTGAGCAAGTCAGTAATTACATCTATAGGACAAAACTATCACAGATGATGCCAGATGCGAAGCAGAAATAAAAAGAAGATTGCTCGGAATACATTTCTGGCAATGAAAGGATTATTCACAAATAGAAAGGTGAAATTTGCGCTTTGGTTGAGACTAGTAAACTGTTATGTATATGGTCTGTCCTACTGTATGGAGCAGAAACATGGACAATAAACAAGACCATGGAAAATAGAATAATATCTTTTGAAATGTGGATCTACAGAAGAATGATGAAAATATCCTGGAAACGAATGAAAACCAACAAAGAGATATTGCACATGGCAGGGCGTAAACAAATTGCACTAGTAGGATTAGTTAAGGAGAGAAAAATCAAATACTTTGGTCACGTTAAAAGGCACCAAAGCCTTTTAAAGGATGTATTGGAAGGAAGAGTGGAAGGAAGTAGACCTAGAGGGAGACCCAGAATCAACTGGGAAGAGAATGTCAAGAACTGGAGTGGACTAAAACTGCAAGAGTGCACAAGAATGGCAGAAGATAGAATGAAATGGAGAGATGTTGCAATCAACCTCCGAACCGGGAGAAGATACTCAGATAGATAGATACTTTCAAAACAATTCGCGAAACGGCATTCGATACTTTACATTATATGGCACTATTTTGGTATTGCTGCTATCGCACAATCATTTGCTGTCACAGTAATTACAAAAAAGGTATTGAAATTTCTCACATCTTTTGCTACATCGCGAAATCCAGGTTATGTAGAAAATTGAAAATAATATATCGCGGGGCGCTTCCTATACTGTGTGAGTCAAAAAAAAGTTTACACCTATAAAATTGCTTATTATTTTCAAAATCATTTTTGAACAGTAGATTATTATACATCTTATGAAAGAGTGTTATATCCCAAATCATTTGGTATCATTTTGTGTGGTATAATATGTTCGCGCTTGAATGAACAGGAGACATTGTTTGCGGGAGTGCAAAAATCGAAATGCGCCAAAGTGATGCATACAGTATGTAATATGTTGGGATGAACGGAGTGAGGGAATGAATTGAATGTATCGAATGAAAAGCATGGCTTTTTGCAGAAGCAAAGTCACACACACACACACGCGCGCGCACAAATGTTCGTTGATATTTGTTATAAAATGGCTCTAGTATTTTAAGCATCGTGATTGGTCAATACGCGTCACATGACATTGAAAAATTTTTGATGCAAGCACGATTTTGCAGAAATGAGTGCAGAAAAAGCGCAGTAAAAAGTTATATTGCACGGTGCGTACGCGTGACCATGGAGATCCAGTGCGCGCGCGTACGCGTAGTACTAGTACGCTCCCTCGAGTGCATTGTAGGCTATAGGCTACGCGTAGCTAATATTTGTACGCTCCATATCCACCATGATCCCCAGCGCAGCGTACGCGTAGCTTAGCTCTAGCTAGAACGGGGTATTATTAGAAAGCAAATTTTTGTTTTACTTTTGCCTTGGATTTAGACCCGTTTTGACTTTTGGATTTTATAATGAAGCCAGGAATTTCAGCTGTCTGAAGTAGACTCGTCTCTAGACACCCTATACATTTTATTTTTAATCAAACAATGAATCCCGTGGACTTTTTGGTAAGCCTGCAAGGTCTTAGACCCTCATTTTATTTCTAGAACCAACATAACTCTAGATCTAGATCGAACTCTCGTATAGACTACTTAAGATCTAAACTTTTGTTTGTTGCTGTTTGTGTCGCTATTTTATAAAACAAATAACGCACTTGACCCTGTTGTGCGAAACGTAAATGCAGTGTTCGCTCGGTTTCTTCAGATGGTTCGCACTGTCAACTCGCCGCAAGCGGCTCGTTGCACAGAGCGGCACCAATCTAAAGAAACCTCGCGCGTACTGCATTCACCGCTATTGCACTCTGGGACGTGCGTTATTTGTATAATATTAGATATTTGATATGTGTGGCATGATTAATGTTGTTAGGGATGTTATTTGGATCTGCAAAGACCTAATTTAAAACCCAAATCCCGATTGTTTTATTCAAACATCACATACTTTGGCGCAAGTCGATTTTTGCACTCTCGCAAACAATGCCTCCTGTTCATCCAAGCATGAACACATACCACACAAAAATGATACCAAATGATTTGGGATAAAACACTCTTGCAGAAGATATATAATAATTTACTGTTCATAGAAGATTTTTTAAATAATTAGCATTTTTCTAGGTGTAATTTTTTTTGACTCACTCTGTATGTAGGCCGCAATAGAAGACATGCCTTCCCCTGGGATTTGACCCGGGGGGGGGGGGGGGGGGACTCACATAATAAGACATACAGGGGTGTGCCGCGAAAATGGGAACAATTAGATAGCATAGGCTGGCCCTTGTCTTGGTGGGGACAGGGAAGAGTGGGTATATAGCCAGGCACGTAGCCACGGGGGGGGGGGGGGGGGGGGGGGGCACGTGACCCCTTAAATTTCCAAGATCGGTTGAACTTTTTTAGACCCCTTTTTTTTACCTCCGTCGATTACATGTAGGTGCCCCCCAAACATCGAACTCTGGCTACGTGCCTGTATATAGTGGAGAGTAAAGTGTTTCCAAACCAGGAAAGCCACCAATAAGCCGAGAAGCAGATAGCACCTCATTGTATGGCAGGGTAGTTTGATAATGTTGAGAATGATAACATAGACAGATCAGTTAAATGAAACTTGGGGAAGAAGAAGATGCAAGTAAAAAGGAAAGAAGTAATATAAAGAAAAATGTTTACATATAATGTAAAAAGTGAAATGGAGATAAGCAATTAGGAAAAGGATATGAAGAAACTAGTGTCAAGAAGCGATTACAATGTACAATTAGAATCCCTTCGCCCAACTTCATCCAGTTTTAACAAATAATCAACCATTTCAACAAACACAAAATAATTTAAACAATATACACGGCAAAAGGTGAACTGTAAATACACTTCTTTAATCGTGCCTTTCAATAATAGCTCTGCTTCTGAACTTTATAGCATCTCAAACAAATTATAATGTGAGAAAACTATATCTCGCATAGATGATATATGAAAATATACAATGTGAAAATACAATTTAACATGAACACCAACCAGGCATTTTAAAATCTCAATCTTAACGTTTCAATCTTATCTGATAATGATCGATATCAAGAAATATTCTTAGAGTGGGAACTCATCCACTTATATGAAAGCAAATCCAATGTCTATCGCTTTACATCAATACCACATTAAATGTGTATTTACTTATGATGGTAAATAAGCAATTATTTACTCTTATAGGTAAGCAACCAATTGACAGATGGCTCCAAATACAAGTATTATCCAGGTATTATCCACAGGATAAGTTAATAATTTAAAGGAGAAGTTCATCCTGTCATTTGGTATCAATAACAGAAGACAATGGGAGATAACAGACAGGTGAAAGTCAAGAGATTTTGAACAAATTAAATGTTGTTGAGCTTGAACCAACTCAAACTGGCAACTATTTTGGTTCCTTTACCACTGCTCCAACCATCAATATTTAATATCCATTCATAATGGTACTATTACCACAGTGAAACAGGAAGAATATCAGAATTATAATGCATGCATATAGGGTTTAGATTTAGAGTAAGGATAGGAAAAGGGTTATCCCTAACTCAATCCCTAGCCCCTAACAGTGCATAATACAGAAAAATTGTGTGAGCAAAGAACTAATAGTGTGCAGGAACAATGGGGTTAGATATTTTAGACTATTTTATCAAGTTTCATCATACATTACCATCTTAAATTTCAACTTGCAATAAAGCTTTTCTTACCACTTAATCTAAGACTTGCCATAAAGTTACATGTTTTCTTAGATGGTGTTTGGACCCATATCTAGAATATACCATAACTGACCATCTACATTCAAACAAAGTTTGTAATCAGTATCGGAATATATCTTGCTTTTTCAAACACTAAGAAATGATCAAATACACTCATCAAGTTATCATACACCATCTACTTTTCAATTGATGCTCTTTATAAAAAGACAAAACACTTGCATTGAAAAATTGAGCATGTTATGTGAAGTTTGTGAGTGATTACTACCATTAATTTCTTTGAACACAGAAATTTAGCTAAATGAATGATGACAATGCAGTCTGCCGTATGCCTTTACGTATTCAACTATTCATGCATGTATCACTAACACAGAGATGCTTACATGCAGGGAAGACTTTATAGAATTTTCTTATAATCCACATGTACGACTAATAACCACATTCAAAGACTCATTCTTGATAAAAGTCATAAAAGGGTCATTGAACATTATATTAGTCATGCAAAGACAGTCCTATTATACCATATACTTTGGTGGTGAAAGGTTTATGTACATTTCTACACCACTTCAAATCTTATGTATTAAACTGCTGATTATTGATTGACAATAGAAACTGCAGTGACATCACCAAACGGTTATACACAACTAAGATAATCACACTTTTCATTTGCATTAATTGGGCATGCTATATTTATGAGATTGAGATTGCAAGATTTACATTACTACCTGGCTTACCATATTCATAAGAACAAGGAGAACAAAGAACCAGCTCTTGAATGGAGTTAATTTTCACTCAAGAATTTTTTTTGGATAGCTAGAATGTATAAACTCAACTTTCAAAAAATCCCTTTACCTGGCATTCTATAGGTAAGAGAAAACAAAGGAAAGCTTAAAGCTAAAGACCAGTTATGGTCATGCGATTGCATTGTGAAAGAAACATTGTGAAATCGATCAGAAAAGGTTGATCATCTAGCATAGATGTACTGCAAGGTTCTGGAATCATCAAAATGATAAGAAATTTGGCCAAGTCTTCATAAAGTTAGAAGCACTGTACACAGAAAGATGTATATGGGACTACACACACGGGCGCGACACGTGCATTTGTATCTCTCAACAGGCAAGAGATACACTAATTTACCAAATATATCAATTAGTAGGCGGTTTCTCATCAAATTTTTTAATCATCATTTAATATTAAAAACATATTCTTTCACATGATTGGAAATAAGAGCTTCCATTTCATTTTTTGAAATTGGGGCGTTTCCAATACTGGTCTTTACCTTTAAAACTCAACGTCTATGACTCGCATGGAACCCAAGTCTACCGAACAAGACGTTTACTGTTCACTGAAAATGTATATGAACTGCAATTTTGTTTGTATTTGGAGCTCATATTTTGACTAAAGTATAGCCACATGGAACCCTTTACATCAAGAGCAAAACACATTTTGGTGATTGTAAAACTAAAGTGAAAGTAAGGTTATTAATAGAGTTCATTAGTTGTCCATACTTGAGAAAGTATACAACCTTAATTCAATATGCCACGGAAAGAGGATTCTGGACACTTACAATTTTTTAAAAAGGAAAGCAAAAAAAAAAACAACAACAACAAAAATCTTTGTATATTGAGATGTCCTTTGTACGGTGTCTAGGTGATATATTTCAGGTGTTAAAAATGGTTCATGACATAAAAATACAGGTGTTCCAGAAGATAGGATATCTATTTATCAAATACCGGTATATCAATTCAGTGAATGCATATACAAAATATTACTTCCCCAGAATGGAGAAACTGTCAAAAGTTATGCAATGTCTATGTTCTAATCTCACCTATTTATTAGGTTTTGACATCAGCAAGAAAAATATTCTTGAACAGAGTACTTGGGTTCTTCACATAATTCACAATAATATAATTCAAACAAAATGTTTTTTTTTAGAGAATGAAAATGCATCCTTTGCAAACTGTTTGAATATAACTGCAAGTGATATCTTGGTTCACGTATAGGCAAATTAATTTATAAAAATCATTCAACATTTGAATAGCATTTTCAAGATTTATATAGCATGAATAGGTGCTATATAACGTATGAATAAGCATACACAACTTCACTTACCTGTGTTGAAAGTCAATATCTTATTTGATACATGCAATATTTCAAATTGAATAAGTCCATCCTTAACAGATAGTGCACAATACCAACTTGTAGAACAGGAAATTTAAATTTTATGTACTTCAAACATCAAATGAAAATCCCTCTCTTGATGTTTTGTTCACTCCCAATCTTCTTTAAATACAACTTCAAGAAGGAGGTGGAGGCCTGCTGATCTTGATTTTCTTGTTGCCATGGTGATGATTGGTGCCACCATCCCTGTCACCTTCTCCTGTTTCCTCTGTTCGTCTCTTCCGAGGCCTACCATGTCCATTACTGTCATTGTCCTCCCTATGAGGGCTCTTGCCTACCTCTTCTTGCTTGGTGTGACATTGACCCGTCTCATCCCCCGGTATCCCCCTAGGGGATGACCCCTTTCTCGGAGACCGCCTGGACGCGCCCTTTTTTCCCTCCCCATCATCTTCCAGCCCGCTGGGATGAATTTCAACCCCATTTGATGGCATTATCCCGTCTACAGATCCGACCACTGCTACCGATGATTTCATCTTAACCTTGCTCTTATCCGCATCATCATCATCATCATGGTTTCCATGGTGATGATGATGGTGGCGGTGATGATGATGATGTCGATGATGCTTTGGATGAGATGAGGATGTTTTTTCATCCTCTTTATTCTGTTTTTCATGTCCATGTTTTTTCACATCATTGCTGGATGATGATAATACAGGTGCAGGAGAAGGTAAGCCAACAGGCTCCAGTCTTGGGGCTTCTGGAAATACTCTGCATAATTCAGTAAAACATAAGCAAAAGAAATATCTAAGTAATTTCCAACTTTATTGTGAATTTAACAATTCAAGTAACAGTCTATAACTTCCTTAATACTGGGAACAAACAAGACTTAATTCTGGCACATAAGACCATCAAACCTAATCATTTCAAGGGGAGGCTAATATGTATTCTTGTCCAAGTTTGGAGTAAATTCATGGCAACCGTGACTTTGAAAGTACATTTAAATCATAAATTGCTAATTCTATATCTGTTACAAAGTCATTAGATATTCTACAAAGAAGAAATGCTACAATCTAGCCTGACCACATTGGTAGTGTCACATTTTAAATTATACGGTGTTGATTCTAAGAAAGAAGGCAAACAAAATTTCCCACAAACGGAAAAGTTGTGTTATTAGGGACATTTGCACGCATGTACATGTATGTATTATTTCCATTTCAACTATATATTATGTATAAGAAGAGATTGTTGAGTCAGTTTTGCTTACCGTCGTAGAATAATAACAGCCCTTCTTGCAGTGACATCTTGTGGTCTGATGCAATGAGTGACTTCATCAGCAGCATATCCACTGCAGGAAAATAGGTCAAAATACATGTATTGCATTTTAATTGGCTTTATCAGGGAGAACTAAATGGATAAACATGACTAAGTCAACACATACTACAATATCAATGATTCCTTATTAAATATATGGATATTTCTGGCCACATCTGTCTTCTTTCCAAGTTGGTTGAATCACTTAGCTAAGGCCAAAACAAAAAAAAATCATTTGGTTGTCCTCGATTGCTTTTCTGGAGTAGGGGCGGGCGGGCGTATTTTTTATTAATTTTTTTTAAAATTAAATTTTAATTAAAGGTATTACAAAGTTTTGGGAAATTTTGTAAAATGGGTGGATAGTGATTCTTTGCAATTTTAATATATTTGGATGCCTCTGTGGATTTATTAAAAACACCAGAAATTTTAGCCCCTAAAACACTTCTGCTTTCGAGAAAAATTGAATATAAAGATTTACCGGTGCTCCCGGTAAATTTTGATAAATTTCAAATAGCTCCTACGGCCGTACAATGGAAGCTGTGACCATGAAAATCTCAGAGTATGTAGTTGTGGTATATAATTTTCAAACGAGAATAGCTTATCAGTCAATTTTAGTCAATAAACATTGTTTTATAGCTTAATTAATAACTTGACCTTGAGAGGGAGCTATTCAATATAAAGTGTTTATTATTTACAATTTCATAATTTTAGAGTAGATTTCGACCGCGACACCGATCACTGAATATTGTAGGAACGCATATGCTTCCAATATGTTCATTTGAACCAAATTCACGACCCCATACCAAAATTTTGTATTACCTTTAATATTTTTTAAACCTCATTTTTGTACGTCTTTTTTTTTTTCACCATCAATTTTTTTCCACCATTTTTTTCCATAAAAAAAATAAAATCATGGGGATGTCAAGCATTTAAACAAACAAAGTCTATAAAACACTTTAATATGGTAAAAGACTAGTTTAAAGGAATAGTTGAGTGTTGGTCAATACTCACATTAGCGAACGAAACTATGATCTAAACATAAAAAACATACAATAAATGTCTAAGAATGCATCATTGAAGATATAAATCCGAAATATTACATTAGAGTGAATTTATATGCAAAAAACCTGTTCGACTGCAAATGATTTTATTTATCAAAAATTTTACTTTCGAGGCGTGTTCAGTGTAATTGTATAGCGCCACCTCTCGGTCAAGCGGCAGCACACCGTGAATTTTCGCCAAGACGACGATCGGATATGGGCGTGCAAGTAATATCCGAACCATGTCTATAGCGCGCTGACTGATTTATATTGTACACATTATGGTATGCGAGGCCTGCACATAATTGCATGGTCTGTGGTACTGGTAGCGCTATTGTTTTTGAGCGCGATATGCGAATACTGTATGTGTATGTAGTGCGAGTACGCTCGACCTAGTAGTAGTGTATGTGTATGTATTGTACGTCGTATGACCCAGTTGATTACTTCTACAGTGTAAAGAAAGTGGCTTACTCTATCTATCAACCAATATGTGAGACAACGCAAGGGCAATTTTGTATTTCGTTTGTAGGAACAAAGCTGTGGAATGATCTCCCAGATGAAATTAGATTAAAAACATCGAGGTTATCTGTCCACCTACCTTCTATGTAAATGACGTGGGCCTTCGTTTTTCCTTTTATATTACTTGTCTTCCTTTTATAATATGTGAAGAGTTTCATTCCAAAAGGAGCCAAATCCACTTTGGGTACTTCTGAGTAAATTGCCTTTTTTATTTCTCCACTTTCCCTTTAGCCATGTATACCTTCATGTTGTTATATATGTTAAAGGTGTCACCCTGCATGGACCGATTATCTGCCAATAATGATAAGAAAAAATCTTCCCTTCGGCTTTTCTGATGTTTACTAAATTTTTTGATTTTATTTTCGTGGATTTAGCTCCTTTTGGAATGAAACATGTTATTGTACCTAAAAAATAAAAAATAAATCATATTTTCTCAATAAAGTCACTGAAATTTTATTCAAATTTAGCAGCAAACCTTTCCTTTTAAATAATAATAGTGAAATCACACATAAATATAACCTTTCGAAAAGAAAGTAAACAACATTATTACAGTTTCATTCCAAAAGGAGCTAAATCCATTCAATTCCAAAAGAAGCTAAATCCATGTTTCATTCAAAAAGGAATTACTAAATCCACATTTTTTTTTTGGCACATATCGCACGACAACCAAATGCCCTAAGATGTTGATACCCACTTTGATAGAAAAATAAGGTTTTACAAAATGGAAAAATACTAGAAGAGAAAAGGTAAGAAAGAGTAAAGACGGATTGAGGACGGTAAACCCCAAACAAGAGACTCAAAAGATCTACCCCAGAATCCTCTCACCGGCACCAGAGTTGCCTAGGCCAATGATGGCCGAGAAGATTGCGCAATGTACCGCGCCGGTCTGGCAGGAAGGTGCCAATTGCGGTGAGGGGTTTTCATGGACCAGTAGATCTGAGATTATATTATCCAAAAAAAAGAGATGAATATGAATTGACAAATAGTACCAAAAATAGAAGAAAAAAAAGAAATAAAGTGAAAGGCGTAAATATTCTAAAAAAGAATGAAACGCCGATAATACCAAACAACAACAACAACACAAAATCTAAAAATTTGATAGAAATCAGAAATAACTGGTGGATTTTTTGTCTTATCATATGTTATAGGTCCAGAGCGACACCTTTAACATATATAACAACATGAAGGTACATGGCTAAAGGGAAAGTGGAGAAATAAAAAGAAATAAATTAAAAAAAATATTAAAAATTGTTGTATCAGTATACTATAATGAATAACAGTAGTGAATTAATTTAACAACTTACTTGATTCATACTTGTCCATAATGCAGTGTTTTTCAGTATTCTTATTTTGGTACTGCATGCAATTGTAAAGTTTTAAAAAAAAAGTGATTGTAACTTCTTGTAAATAAGTTGTGTTCTACAGTGCCTGTGTATTGCATGACCTACGTCAGTACGTGATAACTTGTAAATGTGTAAAGACATAAGATTTTAATATAATTATAGTAATGCTAAAATGAAGATACATAACATATTTTTATGGTGTACATTGAAAGCTTTATTCGGCCATAACTAACAGTTAAATTTACACAACATTATTGAGATGAATACAAATTATAATTGCTGTACTGAAGGCAATATTTAAACGTGATGTTGATTTCAACCATTGCATACAAACAGATCATGTGTATTAAAAAAGGCACATTTTTATTTAGCATCTATCGCTATGACAACTTTAACCGTCGTCATTAAGAAGGAGCAATATACTTTATTTGTATACCACCATGTCTTGTTACTTATTAGTTACTGCTTATTTATATACATCTTATCTTGTGTCTTTCATAAAAACTTGACATACTCTATAGGCAATGTGTAGATAAGTTTACCAAAGAAAAGTATCTATAACAGTAATGTTTCTACGCGCTTGACAAATATACTATTACCCCGGTCATTTGATTCAGTGCTTGCCCGCACACAATGTTTTGACTAGTACGTGATCATACAAATTTTGCCGAGAAACTGCCTACTAATTGATATATTTGGTAAATTATTATATCTATTTGGACTTGATAGATATAACGCATGTGTCGCGCACTTGTGCGTAGTCCCATATACATCTTTCTGTGTACAGTGCTTGTAACTTTACCAAGACTGGGCCAATTTTTTTATCATTTCGATGATTCTAGAACCTTGCAGTACACACCAAGACTTATATGCTAGATGATCAACCTTTTCTGATCGATTCCACAATAATCCTTTCACAATGCAGTCGCATGACCATAACTGGTTTTATTTTTTAAGTTTCACATCTTACTTTATATATCAATGCTTTAAAAATTGTCTGAGTGATTCTTTTCCTTAATGTGTACGAGTATACATGTATACATACTCCATATCGATCTCAAATCCTGAATCATATCAGTTTCAGCACAAAATTAAGTATAGTTAGGTACATATATGTCTTTCATCTTCCCTAATGCTCGACTATGAATATCACCTCAAGTGATTAACATCCAACATAAGGTTTTTCAAAAAAATAGCACAGACATTTCAAAACTGGTCATGTCCTATACGCACACAAAAGACAATTCTGCGTTGTGTGTACTGAGTTTCATATGAATCGATCAAACTACTTCCAATAGTTTGCTCACATACTTATTTTACACACTGCACATGCATTGAGTTTTATACTGTTATTATAATGCCTCATCAAAGATACCAAAACTATAAAATTGCTAAAACTTGGAAAGAATATGCTCCACAAGATTATTAAAACAAAATTGTATTCTTTGTGCAAAGCTTGGTTACCATGGAGGTACCTTAACAGACAGACACAACAAATGTGTCTTGCACACCCTCGGGTCAATCGGTATACCAAGTTTTATTACAATTTGCAAAAAAATTGGAAAAAATTTGACCCAGTTTTTTACAATAGACCAACAGAAAGACTCGCCTGCCCAACTGTATCCTTATTCCTTTATACACCCTTTCAAACTACAAAGTAGTTACAGGCAGCATATCTCTTGATGGTATAACCTTGAACCGCAATACTTTGGCGTTGAGCTGATTCACGTTCATTGATTCAAATGATGCATGAAACCAACTGTTTTGCTGTCTTGTGATCATTTCTCTTTTTCGCTTGCATTATTTTAGTCACATTGATTGCATTGAACAAAAAATGAAGACTATTTACAATAAGATATTCTACAAATCTTTCTTCTGTCCATGTTGATTTTCAACAGGTTCTGAAGTATAGTCTTTTTCATGATCGACTGTCACCTCAGTTACATGCACAGTCACTAAAACCAAACACATTGTTGACTCATGGTTTGACCTCTTGGCTGTAAATTTTATAATTATTACCGTAACTTCTTCAAGGAATATAGGTTGCCAAATAGATACAAATTGAAATATCCACCATTTCCACATGAGCAAGCACTGATTTTATCACAAATTATGAATTGTATAAATCACAT